CTCATAATTATTTGGGTAGAGTAGATGTTCTCTAAGGCTCATACGATGGATATTACTTAAAAAAAAGTCTTAATACTGTAGCTAGAATGTGATTATCATTTTGGTGTTATTTGAGTACGTTATTTTTGTGCAGTTGGGTACAGTTTAATATCTTTGTTATGTCAGTAATTATCGTCATCTGAACCTTTAAGATTCGGGGACTCTGGGCGAGGCTTCATCTGTGACTATTCAGTTCACGTCTTCTCTTAAACCCCCCCCAGGCAGTGGTCCACATAGCGTACTGTGTTAGCCGGTGAAGGAGGCAGGAGCTGACAGACGTGAACTCATGCCTTATATACGTAATTGATAATACTCTAATAAACTAATAATATCCGCAGCAGTACACATGATAGTATAAGAAGAGTGTAGGGAGCAGCAACTGTTGGCCGCCTTTAGGGAGCACTACTCTCTGTACTACCCCGCCGCCTAATAATAACAGGTTACGTCCTGGCTCTTTAACTCTCTCGTCACACACGTCAACCACCCTCTTTATAATCTACCAAGTGACCTCAATTATTCATTAAAGATTTTTATGTATTTGTTAATGTGTTTTAGTTTATTTGTATTTTTTTTTTAGTAGATTTTGTTTGGATGACATTACCCAAAGAGTATTGTGTTAGCAGGTCACGTTGTTCCGGGTCGAGTTCCAGGTAATCAGTTTTCCAGGTCATCTTGGAGATTATCTTGGTCACGTCAGGAAGCAGGTCGGGTCGTTTTAATGGACATAATGGCAACGGCGACGTTCGTAATACGACTACTGTATTAGCCCTTCGGCAATGACGACTCCTTGACACTGTAATCATTGTGTGTGGCATCTCGGGTTTTCTCACGAAATTTCATTCATACTATTATCGTGCGCGGCATCCCGGCTTTTCCCTCACCTCATTTTAAACCTTATAGTTTTGGTACAAGTACAAGGCATCCCGGCTTTTCCTACCAAGGTTGATGACAGCAGCTGCAACATCCTGACGTTTCCCACATAATTTGAATCTTGAGTTTATCTTGAACGAGATTCCGACTTTCCGCCAGATTTGAGCATAGAGTTAAGCATAGAATTTCGACCGACTTCTCGAATGTTAGTTTGTATTCATAACTGGGTATGACAGGATTCACCTAAATGCTATCTAGTTTTAGTGTTAATTCACCGCTATCCGTGTCGTGTGTAAATTTAGTTAGTTCGATACATATTCACCACTTACTGTAATAATTTAGCATAGAACTATTGAGCCTCTCTGTTGGAGCTTAATCATGGGAGAGAGTTTGATGGGCTACTAGAAATAACCTATGTATCATTGGTAACCCTGGGCCAGAGATACACAGCTAAGCTAACGACGACCTGTGATGAATAACAGTTATCGTACGCTGCGGCATGACTACTTTTTCCTAGAGAATTTCCGGAACTATTTCACCTCCTTGTGTTGTGTTCAGAGTATTTCCCGCCATGAACCTTATTTCCTAACTTTACCTACCCTACCCTAACTTAACCTACCCTACCCTAACCTCACTTAACCTCTCGTAACCAACACTGCTCCAACCAACTATGTCGTGAGTTCACCCAAAAGACCAGGCTCCCTTTTTCAGCTTCATTCTTTACTTCTTGACAACTTCTTATATAATACAACAGCCACGTCCGCCCCCTTACACACTGCTCTCACGGTTAAGCGGTGGCGCACCTCACACCCATACTTATCAGTGTCAAACAGGAAAAAAAAAAGTGTAAAGCTCTATGCATCGTTAGTGACCAACCACCCACTTCGTATTTCTTCTCTTCCAAATGTTTTTAAAACCTCAATTTCCCGGTTTAGTGCACCAGTCAGTTCATCATCCTCGACTGTGTGTGTGAGGTTTCTTTAGCCATAGTACATCATCATTTAGGTTAGGTTAGGATTTACCCTCTTCACACTTCCCGTTCGAGGCATTCTCTACATTCCTTGGATACAACGCTCACTTCCTCTCCTCGTTGGTCGCAGGTTCTCTCCCGAGGCATCCACCCAGCTTGACCCAGTTCTAAGGTGGGACCCATTTTTTACACCTCTTCATTTTATTCTCATCCACAATATAACTCACAACATGTTAATATATAAGGCACACACTGATCTCTTCTTATACAACCATATCATACTTTTTCTTTTTAACCTTAGTGAACCAGGCTTGAGTATACAGTAGGTCCCTTGTTAAATTATACTGTATCCCCTAACAGACTATACTGTATCTCTACTCCACCAACCATCGCTGTCAAGGGTACAAGTCGTTGGTGTCAAGATCGTCCCACTGATCGTACCTGAAGAAGAGCTCGTACTTTTAAGAGGGTTAGATTATCGTATATCTCGTTAGTAGTTGTTGTACTCAAGATATCGTACTCAAGTATTTCAGGTTTTCGTTAATTAAGGCCTTTACACTCAAATTAACTTTTGTTTGGGTTTTCCTATTGTATTATTGTTATATTAGTAGTAGTAGTGTTGTGTCGTTATTATTGTGTTTGTTGTTATTATTATTATTTTGATTGTTAGTCTAATATTGTTATTTCGACGTGGATGAAAATCAGTTTGGGATATAATTCACGTAATAAATTAAACTAGCAGCTTGACCTTGACTCACTTCGACTGGTAAACGACACTAGCGTCATACGCCTGGCAGCCCTCCTTTCTATCCGGCTCTGAGTTCCGGATTCTCACCAACTCGTACGAAATTTTCCCTTGAACTAAAGACGTGAGAACGTATCTGACTCGCTGAGCCGGTCAAGCTTGAGTGAATCATTCAAGCTTCAATGAGTCGATAAAGCTTGAATGGGTCAGTTAAGCTTGAATAAGTCGGACAAGCTTGAGTAAGCCAGTTAAGCTTGAATGAGTCAGACAAGCTTGAGTTAGTCAGTTAAGATAGGTTCTCACATCACCTAGAAAAGGAAGAGATTTTTAACTTATGAACCTTTGAGAGTCAGGACCTGACATCCGGCCTATTGTGACTCACTGAGAGAAAATGTGAGACAGGGAGAGACTGTGAGAGAGAATGGGAGAGAGGGAGAGATTGTGGGGGAGAGTAAAAGAGCAAGAGAGTAAGAATAAAAAAAAATATAAGAGTAATCATGAGGAGAGTAAGAATAAAGAGTAAATAAAGAGAAAGAATAGGCGAGTCAAGAGATCCTGGAGAAAGTGGGTCTGATGACACAAACAAACCTTTACTTCTCAACGGTCATCACTTTACTTTAAATACGTATAAATAGTATTAAATTACTTTTTTGAACCATTTGATCTGTGTCAGTTTATAGTTTTGTTTATTAATTTATGTAAGTACTTTGATTTATTTGTTAATTATTTTTTTATTAAACTATACTTTAATTTTATTAATTTATACTTTTATTTATTTATTAATTATACTTAATTTTTTATTAATTAATACTTTTATTTTTATTGAGTTATACTTTTATTTTGTATTAATTTATACTTTTATGTCTATTTCTTTCGTTTATTTTTGCGTTGAATGTTGTTATTTTTTTATAATTATCCTTATATATTTCTTACTTTATTTATCTTTATCTTTTATTTGTTTCTTTTATTTTATTTTGTTCGTTTGCTTTCTTTCATCCCGTGTGTGAAAAAAATGTGAAATCGACTCCAGTTTATATTGACAACCAGGTGGCTGTCATCCGTGGCCTTTGATGTACTGAACTACTGTATGTGTGTGTGTGTGTGTTACGTGAATAATAGTACTAGTCACTTTATCACTATTTGCATGATTCATTCTCTCTATATTTCTCCCTTTCTCTCTTTATTTCGCTTTATTTATCTCTCTTTTGTGTCGCAATCTTTGTGAATCAGGTAGATGCGTTTTTGTTTCATCAGTTACGAGGAATTTTTTTTATCATACGATGATCCTCCGTAACTGCGGTGGCTGGACCCAGTTGTGAACTTTCCCGTGACTGAGAGACGCCGGAACTAATGATGAACCAAAGTGTGTGTGTCAGTCGTCATGCTTCATCCCGGGTCTCTCTCTCTCTCTCTCTGAAATGGGAAGGTGTTCGTTTAATTCACACTCGTGTTGCGTTGGTAAAAGTGTATTGATGTGTGTGGTGAGAGAGAGGACAGGTCAGAAAAAGATTTATTAATTTTTAAAATATATTCTATACGTTTATATTATCTGGTGTTAAGTAAACGTATCTACTTAAGGTATAGTCTCAGTATAATGGTGATGCCATTTTAGTACGAGTTAGAGGTATTCTTTCAGTTTCAGTAACAATGTATGAATCTCCTAGGATCTAAGGTCTGTTTTGTAACGTACGATAATAATAGATTACTATGCTAATTACAGTGACTGGATGGTAATGGAAGTAATTATGGGTAATGATAATGATAATAGTGATGATTATGATGGCAACACTCCCCTATAACTTGGCCTCAATATTGCCATTGTGTCTCGAAGGAAAATTAGTTTCTTTGTTTACGTATAAAAATGAATTTTCTCTACTTGGTGGTATAAAAAAAATATATCTTTCTTACGCTGCCACGCGAAGCTGGGTGGGCTCGCTGTGCGCGCCATGTTCCTGCACCCACAATTTCTTGGACCCCATCTTTTTTATATTCCTGGATCTGCCCCTGCTTATAAAATTTCTTTGACTTAGTCAGTCTCAAAGGTAAAGAGAGTGCGGGGTGCGTATGGTATATGTGGTTAATTCATTACTGTGATGTGGGCGGGCCCGTGTATAGACTAATTAAGCTCACCTAAGTACAACACGTGGCAGTTATGATATCACCCACAAGTTCTAAAAAATCCGCAACACATTATCATCATGTTCACGCATTGTTAGGTTGTTGGTTAAATTGGTCAAGTAATCGGTGTGGCCCAGTGATCATGACCACATAGCAAGTATGAACTTGTAGTCAGCATTGCCACAGTAAGTATGGTCACATAACAAGCATGTCCGTATAGTAGGCGTAGCCACATAGTAAGCGTGGCGTCTGTTGCAGCGCTGCTGGACTCTTTGGCCACGGCCACAGACACTGAGAACTGCCCGGGAAAGTGTTTACATGCCCTGGCCGCCCTCATCTGTCACGAGGTGGTGGAGGGCGACGACCTCTGTCCTTCTGGCAAGAAGTGCTGCAAACCCAAGAAACGTCCAAGTAAGTCCTCCAACGACCCCAATTTCCTTCAACAACAGTTTGCATCAGTCATGAACACCCTTCAACTGTATCCACCCAACCTCCTCTACCAATCACCACCAGTCTCCAACAACACCCCCAACCTCCAAGAACGAACTCCAACAACCACTAGCACATATTTTCTATAGTATTATAATGTTATTGATATCTGAAGTGAGGTTAAGACAAAGGAAACTTCTCGGAGTAAAATTTCTCAGTGTTGCGAGCTTACGACACAACAAAGTCCCCAACCACGAGAACTAACTATACAAAGACTTAGCAGACATAGTCGCTGTGTCTGAAGCTCACTTGCCCATACTGTAGGTAGTATCACACAATTATAACTCGTCACTGACAACTTCGCTGTATCGTAGCTCACACCACCATTGATGTTTTTTTTTGGAGAACCCACCTAAGTTCTGCCTCTAACCTCTCTGTTAGTCTGTTCACATCATTATCACACTTTCTCTGTAGTAGACCCTAATTTAGTTTATTTCATTCAGACTTTCTCTCCTTTTGTTTTGTGTTGAAACAACTATCTCTTGTCGTCTCTGTCACTGGAGTAATTTAACAAAAGTTCCTCCTGGCCAATTACTTGATTAATAACAGTCTCTTAGTCTGTCTGTCGTGATAACAAATTAACAAACTTCTTTCTGACTTTTACTTATTGAATTTTTTTTAAGATTATGATCCTTTGCTTCATGTCAAAAATAACAATTTAAAATTCTTCTTTCTAACTTTCGCTTCTATTCCTGTGTTAAAAAGAAACGACTATCCTTCTTGCTTCCTCTGTCAAGGCAACATAAGGTGAGTTTCCAGTGTTCTTAATTATCAAGGTCTCATAGGTTAGGAATACGACAATGGGAGATGGTAAGTGAAACTGCCAGACACCCTCACCTAGTGTACATGTTTCCAAGATGATGATAATTGTGCACCTTGTGAGGTATTATTTGGCAGGTGACCAGGAACATTTTGTTAATATTGAAATAAGAACTTTTCATAGTCAGAAATTTAAATGTTTATATTACACAGTTGTTTCCAGAAATAATAGACTGTGCATCTTTTAGGGAAAATGTTTAAAAGACTACAACATTCATTCTGTACCAGAGAGAGAGTTAGGGATCATAGGGTTTTCTGCCTTAAAAATTTCCTTATATTACGCTTGTAGGTGACCTTGTCGTGTTATAATAATTGTGACCCTATAATATGTGTCGTGGTAATAACTTGTTGGTGTTTCAGGTGAGGTGGGGGTCGAGGAGGAGACGGTCACGGACGCCCCCACTGACGCCACCGACCTTCCTGAGGCAGAGGTGTGTACAGTGCGGTATTAAGATCTTTTATTGCATTACAGTACTACCCCATCTTTTTATTTTCTCTTAAATTTTTTAATGTTGATTTTTCATTGACGCTGTATTATATTAGTTTGTTTCAATATGTGTTTTTCTGATGTATATTGTACGTGTGTGTGTGTGTGTGTTGACTATGAAGGGGGATTCATCGAAGCCTCTGGTGGTTATTTGTTTAAAAATTAATGTCAGTTTTACAATTGTTCATATTTTTCTCGTGTAATACGTTTATGCCATTTCCTTCACTTGAGATAAACCATTAGCCTCCATCGTTCTCTCTTGGTGCCATAGACAACACCGGTGCCAGAGGGCCTCTCTACCTGGGTTGGAGTCCTTGAGGATGACTCCGAAAAGACCGAAGAGGACGCTGCCCCTACCTTGGAGCCCTCCACAGAACAGTCAGTAGTGGACAACAGCCCTACTGACACACCAGAGGACAGACTAACACAGGAGGAGGAGAAGCCAATGGAAGAGAAACCAGTGAAAGAGATAATGGAGGAGGAGACAGAGACAGAAGAGAACAACACTACTGAAGTGCCCACCACCACTACCCCCAAGGCCCAGGCTTATGCTCCCTCCAGCAGTGAGTAGCAGTTCAGTATTGTGATGGCTGTTTTATAAGTAATTTTGAGTTGTGTTAAATATTAAAAGTATTGAATGTATCTTTTAGGAGTACAGTGTACTGTAGTATTTTTCAACTGGCATACTGTATTGTAACCATTGTTATAGAAAATCTCTCGACTTGTGTATGTACTGTATTGTTCTTAGAATATTGTAAAGGCTATTTCAGAAGTAATTTTGTGCTGAAAAATTATTCTTTCGCTATTGTAATCGCTACTAATGAGTAATTTTGTCCACAGTGTTCAAGTGTTGTAATATTGATTTTATGAATATAGTATAGCAATTATTATTATTTGTTTTCCAGTGCTTCTGTTTGTGTGTTACTATATTTTCTACATCATTTAGCTTTTGAAAATTAATAACAGTTATGCATTAAGGCATCTTATATAGGAGTGATCTTATTTGATTATTGTATTTTGAATTATTACTTATTAAGACCTCCACACCCTCTTGTATTATACCCACAATTTAGGTTAATTTTTTTTGTGAATTGATAGTAACAGTTGCATCACTTCGTTTATAGACAATGAATTAAATATTTTTTTATAGATATTACAATGTTAAGGATATTCTTACACTGTTCTATATTTCGAATTATTAATGACCAAGGTATCACTTGGTTTTCTGACAGTGACTTACAGGATAAACTATTTAAGCTGATACAATTACGATTACTGTACCTATATAATGTGAATTATTAATTACCTTTATCTCTTCAGGATTCTCATTTCAAGGTCGGTTTTGGCAAGGGTCTGTAACACCTGTGATATTTTTTTTCTCGTTATCCACAAGGGAAAACCGAAATTTAATAGTTTTACATGAATTGGTATTTAAATCATCTCCTTAATCAGAACTGAAGGAATTACTGAAGTGCACAATGGCAGCAATAAAAACTGTGAACATAGGCCAAAAAATTATATTAAATAAGATTGAACATAAACCCTTGTTGCACACAACCCTCTGTGAATCTCATATGATGTCAACATAACCTTATACTGTACTGTATGTGTCAATTCCTCAGGCCTGCGGGTGTGTCCTGGTGTGTGTGTTGCAAACCGCATCAGTGAGTACTGCGAGGCAGCCCTGGATGTGAACCAGCTGTGTAGAACTGGGCTTCGCTGCTGTGTCTCAGGTGATCTCTTTGCTGATGTTGATGAGCCGCCCAAGGAGTTTGTCCTCCTTAACCCAAAGAAGTCCCAGGACCAGTTAGAGGTTAGTTGTAACACAATATTAGTGCAGTAAATATACTGGAAATTGATCTACAACCAAGCACTGGTTGCAGGTCAATTAGGATCTTTTGCTTTTTTACTTTTAACTTCTTTACTGATCAGCTCATTACCCGCTTGGTTGGTCGATCACGTCTCTGTTACGCACTGTTGGCAAGTACTGGCTCCTGAATGTATCTACCTGCTCCAGTGTTGGTCAAGTCTCATCTTGAAAGAGCTCACACTCAGTGTCGTCACAACACTTTCTGGCAGGTTGTTCCAAGAGTTCACGATTATCACTGAAAAGGTTTGCCCTCACAGTTTTCTGGACTTGTGGCTTCTTCAATCCTAAGCTGTGACCCCATGTGGGGCAGGTGTCCACCAGCTCTAGGTATGGACATTCGGCTGAGTAGTGCCCTCTGATGTGTTTATAAACTTCAACTAGGTCACCCCTTGCCTGTCTGTACAGTATTATAAGCTAGGCAGTTGCAGGTGTTCTAATCTCTGTATAACTGAAGTGTCATAGTGCAGGCACCAGTCTGGTGGCCCTCCTTTGGACATTTTCAATCAACTGACAGTCTCTAGTATATCTTGGGACCAGACGGGATGACGGTATACTCCAGATGATGGAAGCACCTCACTCTTGAAAATCATTATGAGGGATGGACCGTCTAGATATCTGAACGACCTTCTTATAAGACCTATTAGTTTAGTTACTTGATTCATCTTCTCACAATGGCCCGAGAACTTCAGTTCATGAAATTATTTTGAAGTTATGTGGTCCGAAACTTTAAGTATGCAATGATAAGAGAGGAAAATAGTTCACCAAAGTAGCTCTCAAGTCATTTAACTGTTATGCTCTCTGAGAACTACTGTAGTACTATTTTTCAAGGTAATTGAAACCATTCAACCTTCAATTCATTATGTTATTATATGATTTTGATATTAATTTTTTTTCAGGATCCTAAGGAAGATGTGAGACCCAGTACTGAGAGACCAGTGACTACCTCTACCACTACCACCTCTACAACCACCACCCAGCTGACCACAGTCTACACCCGCAGCCCACAACGCACCACTGAACCACCCAGCAACATCCCAGCTGAGAAGCGTTGCAAGGGCACCTGTGTTGCTGGCTTCTTTGCCTTTCTCTGTGATGAGATCGATCGATCTGGATTGTGTCCCAGAGGTGGCAGATGTTGTGTTACACAGAGAAGACCTAAACCCAGACCCAGACCCCCTACTGACTCTGATAGACCCAGACCCAGACCCCCTACTGACTCTGATAGACCCAGACCCCCTACTGACTCTGATAGACCCAGACCCCCCACTGACTCTGATAGACCCAGACCCCCTACTGACTTTGATAGACCCAGACCCCCACTGACTTTGATAGACCTAGACCCCCCACTGATTTTGATAGACCCAGACCCTCTACTGACTCTGATAGACCCAGACCCCCCACTGATTTTGATAGAACTAGACCCCGTACAACTACGACCACCACCACTCCACCACCACCCCATTTGCCTCTCTGTCCTGGTACATGTCTCCATTCTTTAGTGTCGAGCTTCTGCAGTCAACCTTCAGTGTTGATTGAGGCTTCTGGCTGCGAGGAAGGAACTGTGTGCTGTGACAATCGGGCTGAGAACGAGTTACCTTCACAACCACCACCACCACCACCTGCAAGGGAACCTTCTCCCCCTCCACCACCCCCGGGGAGACCCATCTCACCTGCCTTCCAGACGCTGGCCATGCTTTTCACCCGACCTCCTTCAGCATCACCCAGGCCAATTGACAGACCAAACAGACCACCATCACCACCTCCTCGTCCACCACCAACTACCACCACTACCACTACTACTACAACCACCACCACCACAACACCGGCACCAACCACAGAGCCACCTGACCTGCGACCTGAGTGCCCCGGTACCTGCATACAACCATTCCTTTCATTCACCTGCTTTGGTAAGAATACTTCATGCATAATACTATTATTTCAGCCATCTCTCTTCTTTCAGTGTTTTTTTTTTTGTACAATATGCTTTATAAATTTAGTCATCTGAGGTGTTGCTAGTTATGTCTTAATAACTACAGTGAAGACTTTAAGAGACAAAATCCAGTTATAGATGAACTGTTGGAGGATATACCACGGAGGAAGACATTTTGTATCAGGGTGTTCCACAAAATACCTCAGCTTGATTGTGTTTCAAGTTCATTTCTTTGCTTCAGATGCCTCACTCACTATAACACAGAGTATCAGGAATAAGATTATTATTAGACATTTGTAGGATAATTTGTTGATGCCATTATTCATACCATAGATGTGAATCTAACTTAACCTGTGTTTCATCAAACAGTTTTAAAGACAGGGCCTTACAGTTTTATTTACAGTAGTTGTTTCTTAAATCTGGTGGCCAAAAATTGATCAGTTTGAAGATAGATATACAGGGTAATGGTAATTTGTTTTTTATACCAGGTAATTACTATTTTCAGCAGTAATAGAGATCTGAGAATTTTTTTTTTAAAGTACGGTACCCAAAATCCAATCCAGAGTTTTTTTTTTTAATGTACTGTATGTACAGGAACAAACATGAAATAATTTTTGCAAGAGTTTATTGCTTGAATACATACTTCAAATAGCACAGATGTTGCAAGAGTCATATTTTTTCAAATTTGTGGAAAAATTCTTTGAGCATTAATTAAACAAAAAATTATTTCCCAAAACACATATGTACTACAGTAATAATTTAAGGGAGATTACATATCAATCAAGTTCACTCACTCTTCTTCTGCAGGCAATGCTGAGATGACACAACTCTTCCAATGCAACAAACCCAAGACAGAATGTTGCTCCCCTAAGTCTGCTCTTAGGGACGTCCTGCGATATGAAGAGATTGAAAATATTGCCAGGAATGATACAGTACTGCCTCATACATATGATGGCTCTTACTATCCCACCTATAGTCAGCCCGGCTATAACTACCCTCCCTATGACCAAAATCCTAATGACCCCTCAGGCCTTCACTCCCATGACCTTCCTTATGAACATCAGGCACATAACCGACCTCCAGATGAGTTGCCATACGACCAGTTTCCATATGGACAGCCACCTTACGAAGAATCTCCCTATGAACCCACATCCATTGACCAGCCTCAACACCAACCATACCAACCAGATCAGCCTCCACACCAACCATATCAGCCAGAACAGCCTCCATACCAACCAGAACAGCCTCCATACCAACCAGAACAGCCTCTACACCAACCATACCAACCAGATCAGCCTCCACACCAACCATACCAACCAGATCAGCCTCCACACCAACCATATCAGCCAGAACAGCCTCCATACCAACCAGAACAACCTCCACATCGACCATACCAACCAGAACAGCCTTTACATCAACCATACCAACCAGATCAGCCTCCACATCAACCATATCAGCCAGAACAGCCTCCATACCAACCAGAACAGCCTATACATCAACCATACCAACCAGAGCAGACATACAAGCAACCATATGCTCCACCACGAAATGTTACTCAAGGTAATTTACTTATGATATATGAACTTCGTTACAACAGGTACTAGTACGACAAAATTATTTTCATTGCCTTTTGTGTCTTGGTGATTCAGATCTTTAATGCTTATAGAGTTTGAGACCAGACACTCTAGACCAGATTGTTGACACTTTTGAAAATAGACTTAAGTTTAACTGTTGCATTCTATGTGTCACATAAAATATCCAATTTACAGGCTTAAGTGATCAATATGATCTCTACTTCACAATCTAAAATAAACCTCACTACCTGTACTGTATCTTGTCTTGGAAAACATTTAGTTTAGCTTTTAGACTTTGTTTTAAAGGCAGAGTAGTATGGTGAACAGGAATAATCAGTGACGCTCGTAAGAACTAGGCATGTGAGCCTTTCAATCTCCGCTAAAATGCATTGTGTCTCCCTGTTAATACATGTACAGTATTTAAAGGACTGGTGTATGAACATTAATGCTAAATACTGTACAGGTAAATGTAAAATAATATTTTTTTTCCCTACAGCACCACAAGAGGTGTTCAGAACAACAACTCAGCCAGCAGTGATGAACAAATATGTGTGTGGTGTGAAGGGCAACCAGAGAAGTGGTCGTGTCGTAGGCGGGGAGGATGCTAGGCCAGGAGAATGGTGCTGGCAGGTGGCACTTATCAACTCTCTCAACCAGTACCTTTGTGGTGGAGCTCTCATTGGCACTCAGTGGATCCTCACCGCTGCTCACTGTGTCACCAAGTGAGTCCGGCAGCACCTCAACTTTCTTTTCTCTTATATTTTCAGCCAAGGAAAGTATTGGCATATTTTTAATTCGAATATCTGTATTGTCTTTTTTCTGACCCAAGAGTTACCTGTCCCTTGTTACATGCTTAACCCTATAGAGGGCAGGGTTTCTCTCACCTGAATAAAATCGTCTAGTTTTAGCTATAATAAAATACCTAAGTGAACCGTTGCCCTCTTTAGGGTTAAAAATCTAGTTTTTGAAGCACAGTAACAACAGTATGTTGTCGAAATTCATTCACCAACTCAACATAATCCATCAGCATCACATTTATCCCCACAACACATTTGAAATGACATTGACACAATTCATTCCAATCGTGGTGGACACTGGTGCTTCCTGCATACTCATTCCCCTCCCTTCTAGTGCCTCCTTCACCCATCCTTCCACTTCTTTGGTTTTCTTCTCTCTCCAACCGTCTACTCTTTACCAATCATGTTTTTTCCATTCTCTCCACTTGTACATATCATTGTACAATACATGTTAAGTGATTGTGTGCATTTTCTCCTTATTTCAAGCACGGAATTAAACTCAAAATTATAATAAATTCAACATCTCATTATCTTCTCTTTCCTGCAGTATTGTTCGATCTGGTGATGCCATCTACGTAAGGGTAGGCGACCATGACCTCACCACCAAGTTTGGCTCTCCTGGTGCCCAGACCCTGCGTGTCGCCACCACTTACATCCATCACAACCACAACTCCCAGACCCTCGACAACGACATTGCTCTCTTAAAGCTCTACGGCCATGCTGACCTAAAGGAGGGAGTGTGTCTAGTGTGTTTACCTGCCAGGGGCGTCAGTCAGGTGGCTGGCAACAGGTGTATTGTCACTGGATATGGGTACATGGGTGAAAGTAAGTACTGTACTGTACACTAATGGTGACTTCTCAAATGGCCCCAATCTAACTTAAACTACAGTACTGTGATTAGGACCCAGTCATAATGGGCCCTTTTCTAATGGGTGTCATTCCTTCTAGGTCCCAGTCTTATCCTTCTTCATGCAGAAAATTTTTGAGGCTGTTTTATGACATGGATCTGTGTTCATAATTCATCAGTAATCTTGTTTTACCCAACAGCTGGACCAATCCCCCTGCGTGTTCGAGAGGCTGAGGTGCCGGTTGTGTCAGACAATGAGTGTGTGAGGAAGATCAATGCAGTTACAGAGAAAATCTTCATCTTGCCAGCCTCATCCTTCTGTGCTGGTGGAGAGAGTGGTCATGATGCCTGTCAGGTGAAACTCAAATATTTATTTACTAATGTATGCTTAGTATATGTCATATTTGAGAAAAAAGATAGCTAGAAACAAGAGATTTTTTTTTATACCCAAATAATTTATATGCACTCTAGAGTTCATTTCTATATAACAATGCACTCATTACATACAATGAAAGTAAACACACCCACATAAGCTGCTTCATCAAAATAAAACAAATTCCACCATCATTTTGATATCTAGCTTTGCCATCCAAACCTAAACTTGAATATTATGAGTATAGTACAGTTTTGCCCAGTGGTTCATTTCTGCTCTTATCAAACACACTTCAGAGATTAATCAAAGTGTAATCCTCAAATCTGAAAGTTTGGAACCATGGCCTCCAATTCCAGGTGTCTTTTGGGCTCTTTCCCAGAGATACAGTAATATTAAGTCATGGACCATTTGGTGATGTCACTGATACCTGTGTGTGTGAAAGAAATAACTGATTATTGTATAGGATGTACACACTCTTCAGAAAGTACAATACAGGTATCTGCAAAATTTTCCTTTTATATTAAAGTGCATTCTTTACATATGAACCTACCAATTTTCAACTGACCTCTGTCCCTCATCTATTTTCAATGTCTAAAGTTAAAACTCTTTGCAGGGAGATGGAGGTGGCCCTCTAGTATGCAATGTGGATGGGTACTTCGAGCTAAGTGGCCTGGTGTCATGGGGCTTTGGATGTGGTCGACAAGATGTTCCTGGAGTCTATGTTAAGGTCTCCTCCTTCATTGGATGGATTAACCAAATTATATCGGTCAACAACCTTTAGTGGATTTATGGCACTAATCAAATATTCATTCGCTCAAGCATTTTTCCTGGGAGTCCTGGTGAGAAGGGGTTTCCTGAATAGCAGTTTCTGCACAAAGATTTTTATTTTATTTTATTTTATTGTTTTTGGGGGTTATAGTTTAAAAGGGATGATACTCTGTCTCTATTCTGGGTGAAGACAATGGATTTTTTTGGATGTGGTGTAGCGGGTATGTGATCTTCTCCAGATAAAGACTACTACTCAGATAAGTTAGAGGGATGTCTGTTAATTGTTTTGTCTTTCTAAAGATTTTTGTCTGATTGTTTCTGTTTGTTTGTTTGTTTGTTGTACAATATGTTTTTTGTTTGTTCTGTGTAACCTATGGCTTAAGTTCTGCTGGCAGTGTTAGCAAATGAAACTTTTAAAAAGCAAAAATCTTGGAGATTCAGTAGATTTTCAATGGACTACCTTATTTCTTCTCTTCCATTAGGTTAATTTTTCTCTTTTTGACATGGTTGGTATCTTACTTTGAACATACTTGTAGCTTTTCAAATTTGCTTATAACAATTATAAAACCTACTGGTGATAAAAATTTGAAGTTCTGACCGTGAAAAATACTGAAAGCCATAATTAGCTATAGAGGTTACTGTTCTTGTTTTATTAATATTATTATATTTATTGTAATTTATTTATATTTATTGCAAACTTGTACACCATAAGTCGAAATGATGGAGATCTTTTGTACATATGACAGTGATGGCAGATTGTTTGTTTGTCTGCCTAAAACTGTCATTATATGGCATTTTGACATTACAGTGTACTGAAATCCAATTGTGGTTAACACTATGGACAATATTTGTCACAGACTTGGTAACAGAATGATGTGGTTATCTATAGTACTGACATGTTATGTAACACAATGTGTCCCAGTTGTGTTCTGTTGGTGAGAACATGCAATTCAGACTTGACCACAAACAGAAGTACTGTACTGTACTGCATTGACACGTGGTTGTGTGTTTTGTGTACATGTTTATGCTTCAGAAAAATTAGTGTAAAATAATGTTTGATATTGTGACCATCTATAATCATAGATATCACAATTGGGTATAATTGACTGACAGACTATGTAATTTTGTTCCAGTTACCAAAGACTTGTCTTAAAAAGACGACATATAAATGTGTGAGCTGAAATGTACTCAAGAATGGCAGTCTTTACTGATGATATAATCAGTTTACTACTCATCAGGTATTTAATAAATGAACAGACGACAAAGAAAAGAACGTATATTGACAGAAACCTTGACATTATGATTGAGCAGTAGTGGAGAGACTGATGTTGATCTTGCTCGTACAGTTTATGTAGCCAAAGACTTGACTGTGACTGATTTTTGTATATATCGATTAAGTGATTTTACAGTTATATATTCAGTGTAGGATATGACAACCATGAGAAGAATCAGTGATGTTTGCTTGATCCTTCATGTTATTGATTTAATTATGTACTACAGGACAAAACTGAATTCAACCACTTCATAGATTCTACACAACCCTCAGAATATATAAATTCATATTGTAAATAGAGTTGAATACTAATGTAAGACACTGAAATTTTATAGTTTTTATAACCACATCAAGAATCAGCATCTGCCATCATGAAGGGAAATGTTAAAAGACTTACACAACATCCACATTGACATTTTGAACTTTTAAGAGAATGTGTTAAATGGGTCAAATGTAGTTTGGATAATGTCAATGTATATACAGTATATCATTCCCAACTAAATAGGTTGAAATAGGCTCATTATATCACACAATACTTTAAAAAATCATACTCTATATTAATTTACCCAAATTTCTAAAGAACATTGTAAACCATGACATCACCATTTCATTGAATTTTCTATAACAATTGTAAAACATGAGCATTCCACTCTTCTACATGCTGTACATATAAAACTTTGAATTTGTACAAGATAATAACCATAACATGAATACAGTACAGGTACTAAATAACCTACATGAGACACATCTACAGTATTTAGAATATGATTCTGACAATCAGAAGTTCAGCTTTATTGTAATTTGTTGCAAGACATTGACTTGATACTCAGCCTGACCATGACTGAATGACAAGGAACAGTAATACTTATGGACTATTTGTTGGAAGTAAAATTGACATCCATGAGACAACGGTATATAAACATTGAACCAGAAGCTGCAATTGTGGTGGATGTTAAGGCTTCATTTGCATCAAAAATAATTGGACTACAGTTTAATGCCATTGTTGATATTATATAATGGAGAGCATAATTAGTTTAGTGGTTTTCATATTTTATAAGTACAGTACATTATCAACTAAAACATGACAAAGGAAAGGAAATTTCTACTATTGTATAAGAAACTGATTTAGATTAATTCAGGTTACCTTATTCTCCAAGCTCTGTGTTCATGTGCAATTACAGTATGTAGAGTATATCAAGCCAGTGTATAAAAATGATGTTAATATATATATATATATATATATATATATGCTGATAACCACAAGGAAAGAAGAAAACACGAAGTTCCCAAGCGCTTTCGTGTAATTCACATCTTCAGGGGTGAGTGCAGTCTGTACTCACCCCTGAAGATGTGAATTACATGAAAGCGCTTGGGAACTTCGTGTTTTCTTCTTTCCTTGTGGTTATCAGCATATACCTAGATCACACACACCTACAGTGATTTACTTGCATATATATATATATATATATATATATATATATATATATATATATATATATATATATATATATATATATATATATATATATATATATATATATATATATATATATATATATATATATATATATATATATATATATATATATATATATATATATATTGTTTATTTTTTTTTTTTTTTTTTTTTGCAAAAACTGTAATTGAATGTTTTATAGAGGGAAACACCCATGTCATCAGGTAGCACTACATGACAAAGACTCAGGACGACTAAGATTCACCTGTGTACTGTACTACCCATATCAGCCAGGAGTATAATATTTGTTATAGGTTTGCTCAAAATAATTATCACCACCATTATGTCACACAGTTAGTTAGAAAAAACCCCAACCTGCAAAGTACAGTACCCACACTGAGACATGTAACTGGGATAATAAATTAAATGATCAGAACTATGAGATGGACTGTGCCACTTCATGATCTGGGTAGTTACCAAAGTGAGACATGAAGTTACTACAGTACAGTATTTGAATAGCTCTCACTGTTCAACCTAGACAGATGCCACTGTATGGACAAGGCAGGTACCACTGTATGTATTGAGTATTAATCACTTTATGACTTGGACAGTTACCACTATATCACCTGTGCAGTTACCATTTTAAGAACTTAACTATCACGACATAGGCCTTGGGCAGGTATTACTGAATGACTGTTAACTCTTGGAACAATCTGCCAGAAAGTGTTGTGATGGCACCGAGTGTGAGTTCCACCAAGACAGACTTGACCAACACTGGAGCAGGTTTAGGTACATTCAGGAGCTGGCCTAGTACTTGCCAACAGTGCGTGACAGAGAAGTGACCGATCACCCAAGCTGCTAAAGAGCCGATCGGTGGTGAAGAGGATAAAAGTAAAGTAAAAGACTGAATGACCTGGTAAGTTACTGTACTGTAATTTGTAGAGTCAACACAGTATGACCTGGACAGTCACCTGTGTATGACCTCTAGACATTTAACTGTATATGACCTGGACATTTATCTGTGTATGACGTTGGACATTTACCTGTGTAAGACTTGGACAATTACTGTACCTGGGTATAGCCTGGACGGTCACCACTCTACAACCTGGAAACTTACCATTTTTTTACCTTGACAGTCACCACTGTATGACTTTGACAGTTACTACTGTGTGACCTTGACAGTTACTATACTGTGACCTTGACAGTTACTATACTGTGACCTTGACAGTTACTACTGTGTGACCTTGACAGTTACTACTGTGACCTTGACAGTTACTACTGTGTGACCTTGACAGTTACTACTGTGACCTTGACAGTTACTATACTGTGACCTTGACAGTTACTACTGTGACTTTGACAGTTACTACTGTGACCTTGACAGTTACTACTATGACCTTGACAGTTACTACTGTGACTTTGACAGTTACTATACTGTGACCTTGACAGTTACTACTGTGTGACCTTGACAGTTACTACTGTGTGACCTTGACAGTTACTACTGTGTGACCTTGACAGTTACTATACTGTGACCATGACAGTTACTATACTGTGACCTTGACAGTTACTACTGTGTGACCTTGACAGTTACTACTGTGAGCGCAGCAGTTACTACTGTGTGACTGACAGTTACTACTGTTGACCTTGACAGTTACTACTGTGACTTTGACAGTTACTATACTGTGACCTTGACAGTTACTACTGTGTGACCTTGACAGTTACTACTGTGTGACCTTGACAGTTACTACTGTGTGACCTTGACAGTTACTATACTGTGACCATGACAGTTACTATACTGTGACCTTGACAGTTACTACTGTGTGACCTTGACAGTTACTACTGTGTGACCTTGACAGTTACTACTGTGTGACTTTGACAGTTACTACTGTGACCTTGACAGTTACTACTGTGACCTTGACAGTTACTACTATGACGCCGGCGGTTACTACTGTGACGCTTGACAGTTACTGCTATGTGACCTTGACGGCCAGTTACTACTATGCGGCCTTGACGGTTACTACTATGTGACGCCAGCAGATTTACTATACTGTGACCTTGACAGCTACCATCACTGTGGCCGACAGTTACTACTGTGTGAGCAACAGTTACTACTGTGACCTTGACAGTTACTACTGTGTGACCTTGACAATTTACTATACTGTGACGGCAAATTACTACTGGCTTTGGCAATTACTACTGTTGTGACAGTTACTACTATGGCGCCGACAATTTTTACTGTGACCTTGACAGTTAATACTGGCTGATAATTTACTACCAATGACAGTTACTATACTCTGTGACCTTGACAGTTGCTATAACAACGGCCTTGACGGTTACTATACCCCGATCTTGACAGTTACTACTACTGTCACCTTGACGAAAGTTACTACTGTGACCTTGACAGCAGTTACTATACTGTGACCTGTACAGTTACTACTACTGTCACATGACAGTTACTACTGTGTGACCTTGACAATTTTATACTGTGACCTTGACCCAGCTACTATACTGTGATGACCTTGACGAGTTACTACTGTGTGACCTTGACAGTTACTACTGTGTGACCTTGACAATTACTACTGTGTGACCTTGACAGTTACTATACTGTGACCTTGACAGTTACTACTGTGACTTTGACAGTTACTACTGTGACCTTGACAGTTACTACTATGTGACCTTGACAGTTACTACTATGTGACCTTGACAGTTAATACTGTATGACCTTGATAGTTACTACTGTGTGACCTTGACAGTTACTATACTGTGACCTTGACAGTTACTATACTGTGACCTTGACAGTTACTATACTGTGATCTTGACAGTTACTACTACTGTCACCTTGACAGTTACTACTGTGACCTTGACAGTTACTATACTGTGACCTGTACAGTTACTACTACTGTCACCTTGACAGTTACTACTGTGTGACCTTGACTGTTACTACTGTGTGACCTTGACAGTTACTACTGTGTGACCTTGACAGTTACTACTGTGTGACCTTGACAGTTACTACTGTGTGATCTTGACAGTTACTACTGTGTGACCTTGACAGTTACTACTGTGTGACCTTGATAGTTACTACTTTGTAACACAGACAGTTACAACGGTATCTTGCACAGTTACTGCTGTAAAACCTGGGCGGCTAGTATGTTGTAACATCAATACTGTAGTAATTACTTTATGAATCGAATATTTAGTGCATTATCATACAGACTGTTACCACTGTGTGACCTGGACAGTTACTACCTTAAGACCTGGACAGTTACTACCTTAAGACCTGAACAGTTGTTACCTTAAGACCTGGACAGTTACTACCTTATGACCTGGACAGTTACTACCTTAAGACCTGGACAGTTACTACCTTAAGACCTGGACAGTTACTACCTTAAGACCTGGACAGTTACTACCTTAAGACCTGGACAGTTACTACGTTAAGACCTGGACAGTTACTACTGTGTGACCTGGACAGTTACTACTGTGTGACATGGACATTTATTACCTTAAGACCTGGACAGTTACTACTGTGTGACCTGGACAGTTACTACTGTGTGACCTGGACAGTTACTACCTTAAGACCTCGACAGTTACTACCTTAAGACCTGGACAGTTGCTACCTTATGACCAGGATAGTTGCTACCTATGACTGGACTACCTTAAGACCTGAACAGTTACTACCTTGAACCTGGACAGTTACTACCTTAAGACCTGGACAGTTAATACCTTAAGACCTGGACGAATACTACCTTAAGACCTGGACAGATACTACCTTAAGACCTGGACAGTTACTATCTTATGACCTGGACAGTTACTACCTTACTACCTTAAGACCTGGACAGTTACTGCTAAGACCTGGACAGATACCACCTTAAGACCTGGACGGTTACTACCTTAAGACCTGGACAGCTACTACATTATGACCTGGACAGTTACTACTGGACAGTACTACCTTTACTAAGACCTGGACAGTTACTACCTTAAGACCTGGACAGTTACTACCTTAAGACACCGGACAGTTACTACCTTAAGACCTGGACAGTTACTACCTTATGACCTGGACAGGTACTACCTTATGACCTGGACAGTTACTACCTTAAGACCTGGACAGTTACTACCTTAAGACCTGGACAGTTACTACCTTAAGACCTGGACAGTTACTACCTTATGACCTGGACAGTTACTACCTTATGACCTGGACAGGTACTACCTTATGACCTGGACAGTTACTACCTTAAGACCTGGACAGTTACAACCTTAAGACCTGGACAGTTACTACCTTAAGACCTGGACAGTTACTACCTTTAGACCTGGACATTTACTACCTTAAGACCTGGACATTTACTACCTTAAGACCTGGACAGTTACTACCTTAAGACCTGGACATTTACTACCTTAAGACCTGGACAGTTACTACCTTAAGACCTGGACATTTACTACCTTAAGACCTGGACAGTTACTACCTTAAGACCTGGACATTTACTACCTTAAGACCTGGACATTTACTACCTTAAGACCTGGACATTTACTACCTTAAGACCTGGACATTTACTACCTTAAGACCTGGACAGTTACTACCTTAAGACCTGGACAGTTACTACCTTAAGACCTGGACAGTTACTACCTTAAGACCCGGACAGTTACGACTTAACATGACACTAAACAGCATCGACTCCTCCGACAAATATATGATACTCCATTGAGAATTGTGGTGACTATTTCCCGTCACTGTAGCAGGAGTCTGGAGTGTTATATGCTGTACAATACCCATAGACTGGTGATTATACAGTAAATGTCAGTTATGATAAATATCTGTATCTACAACTTTTTATAACTGTACTGTAACTTACAACAAATATAGTTATTTATGATGACTAGTGTGACATAATAAATAGTGTTACTTATGATGACTGTAGTGTGACATGATCTAATATTACTTATGATGACTATAATGTGACATGATGACTGTTGTGTTACTTATGATTATACTGTAACTAATTATGGATATACTGTGACATGATGAATATACTGTAATGTATGATGGCTGTAATGTAAAATGATAATTATACTGTAACTTATGATAACTATACTGTAACTTATGATGGCGATACTGTGACTTATGATGACTATACTGTAACTTTCGATGACTATACTGTAACTTATGATGACTATACTCTAACTTACGATAGTTGTACTGTTGACTTATATGATGACTATACCGTAACTTATGATAACTGTACTGTTGACTTATGATGACTATACTGTAACTTATGATGACTATACTGTGATTTATTATGACTATATTGTGACTTATGATGACTATACGGTGACTTTAGATGACTATATTGTACCTTATGATGACTATACTGTGACTTATAATGACAATACTGTAACTTATGATGACAATACTGTAACTTATGATGACTTTGCTCTAACTTACGATAGTTGTACTGTTGACTTATATGATGACTATACCGTAACTTATGATAACTGTACTGTTGACATGATGACTATACTGTAACTTATTATGACTATACTGTAACTTATGATGACTATACTGTGATTTATTATGACTATATTGTGACTTATGATGACTATACTGTAACTTATGATGACTATACTGTAACTTATGATAGTTGTTCTGTTGACTTATATGATGACTATACTGCAACTTATGATAACTGTACTGTTGACTTATGATGACTATACTGTAACTTATTATGACTATACTGTAACTTATGATGGCTAAACTGTGACTTATTGTGACTTATGATGACTATACTGTAACTTATGATAACTGTACTTTTGACTTATGATGACTATACTGTAACTTATTATGACTATACTGTAACTTAAGATGACTATACTGTAACTTATGATGACTATACTGTAACTTATGATGACTATACTGTAACTGACGATGACTATACGGTGACTTTAGATGACTATACTGTACCTTATGATGACTATACTGTGACTTATGATGACAATACTGTAACTTATGATGACTATACTGGAACTGATGATGAATATACTGTAACTTATGATGACTATACTGTAAATGATGATGACTATACTGTAACTGATGATAATTATACTGTAACTGATGATGACTATATTGTAACTTAAGATGACTATACTGTAACTCAAGATGACTACTGTAACTCAAGATGACTATACTGTCACTTAAGATGACTATACTGTGTACTTATGATGATTATACTGTGTACTTATGATGTATATACTGTGTACTTATGATGAATATACTGTGACTTATGATGACTATACTGTGACTTATGATGAGTATACTGTAACTGATGATGACTGTACTGCAACTGATGATGACTATACTGTGTACTTATGATGAATATACTGTGTACTTATGATGACTATACTGTGACTTATGATGACTATACTGTGACTTATGATGACTATACTGTAACTGATGATGACTATACTGTAACTTAAGATGACTATACTGTAACTTAAGATGATTATACTGTAACTTAAGATGACTATGCTGTAACTCAAGATGACTATACTGTAACTTAAGATGAATATACTGTAACTTAAGATGACAATACTGTAACTTAAGATGACAATACTGTAATTTATGATGACTATACTCTTGCATGAGGAATATACTTTGACTTTGAATGAATATAATGTATCTTTTGAATATAGTGACATAATAATAATAAAATAGCCCCTATTTATGTGTGTTATTCACTGCTTCAAGGCCACATAGTAACTGGACTCGGGTGGAGGGAGGGAATGTGAATGATTAATCCCACCTTGGTTAGAATTTGGTTAGGTTAGGTTGGTTTGGTTTAGGTTGAGTAGCTTAGGCCATGTTGGATTAGGTTAGGTTAGGTTGGTTTGATTTAGGTTGAGTCGCTTAGGCTATGTTATGGCTGGTTAAGTTATATTGTGATAAATCAGTTTGGTTAGGTTAGGTTGGTTTACGATGGGTAGTTTAGAACACATTGATTTAGGTTGGGTAGTTTAGGCCACGTTAGGTTAGGCTAAGTTATGGCAGGTTAAGTTATGTTGTGATAAATCTGTTTGGTTAAACCATGAAGCAGATGAAAATAGTTTTAATGCATTTATATCAACTTTTATTGGATTTTAGTATCAAATGCTCAGAGTATCAGGCTGTATCACAAGTAAAATATGATAAAACAAATTAATACCTACACAGTTTATTAGGAGAAGGAAGTACATAAATGATGCAATGAAAATATGTTAAAAGACACTATTGCAACCCGGAAACCCGTACTGGCCGGAAACTTTGGCTAGTACGTATATTATTAATACATACTACTGTAACTTGAGTATATTGTGACTTATGACGCGTACAGTATACCGACTGTGTATACATACAGACTTCTGATGAGCATACTGTGACATACGATGAATACACCATCTTATAATGTACCCACATGACAATGACTATACTGTGACGTTGTATTCATCAAGTCACATTACAGTGGTGCTCTTCTACATAAGAACGTTCAACTTACAAACTTTCAAAGATACAAGCATCATCACTGAGGAGGGTTATCCTGCAAGAACAGGTGTTTAATAAATGTGGATGAGACTGGATTATTTTGAAGAAAATTCCAGATAGAACAAACATTACCTAAGAGAAGAGTGAACCAGGTTTTAAGGCTGTATTAAAGGGTATAGCTGTACTAAGTATCCATAATCTTTTCATTTTTTACAATATGTTTGGTATCGACAAGAGTAAAGTTGGACTTACAAACACGCCTCAGGAACGTTAAACTCGTTCGTAAGTACAGGAGCACCTTGCTCGTATCATATCTGATAACTACAGTATATCTTCCAAAGACTTAGTTTAATCAAAATTGACTAAAGTTAAACTTGTGGATAAAATATTTTAACCTATAGTAGGATTCCTCTATCAAGGAATAAACAATTGAAATTGAAAATTGAACCTATAGTACTTTGTTTCAAGTTGTTGTTATTAATCATGGTGTAACTTTTGTATTTTACTGTAATGTAACCCGAATTATAATGATGGCAGTAGTCCTTCATATAATAAACTGAATATCTTAAATAAGTTTGTAATTCCTTATAATACAATAAATGTGTTAAGTGTAATAGCATATGCAGCAACGATATGGCAAATCCTGACGTCCGGAAATGTACTTTTAAGTTCTCATAATCTAACCTAACCTACCAACTTAACTTTTCATAATTCTTAAGTGTTAAGGTTACGGCAACAAAACCTTGGAAAAAAAATAACCATAGCTATTTAACTGACTGTAGATCAACAGGGGTGGGGAAACTTTTGAGGCGGTCACGAGGGCTCTGCGTACCACTTATTACAGTATTGTCAAGCATTTTCGAAAAACAATTATATATTACAATAAATAAATAAAAAGTGAAATAAACTATATATATATATATATATATATGTGTGTGTGTGTGTGTATAAACAGCAACACAACACTTGATAAATTAGTAATGTCAAAATTATATTAATTATATCCCGGCAGTTATGAAAATTTGGGTCAAGGTCTAGAGAATTGTTGTATAATGAATAGGTTTACATTTTAAAATATTTGTTTATTTTATGCATATGATAAGTATGAAAAATTAAAAAGAATTCTAAACCACTAAGCCATCTACAAACACTAAAAGCATGATCATCACGCTCTGCGACAACATGAAAGCTGCCTCGTGATTGGACGATACAGAGTCGCCTGACCAATAGTGACTCAGGTTCGAGATAGCTGACTGTCATATGACACAGCTGATCGATCTGGCTACTCACACCAAAACATTGCCGGAGGTGAGTAAGGCTAACGACGATTTTGTTCTTAAAAAGTGATTTATAACCATCTTAATTGGATATTTTGATAACTTTTAATAGTTTTACTTCCACGTTAAGTGTTTATTTGCCTTCAGAGTCGCTAATATGTGGGTTTACGGATAATGATGCAGATGTGGTTTTAGGTCACATGATTAGAAATACTGTGTCGGCATTCGTTCAGTTTAAAGACTGTGGATTTCTCATGACTGAGGATACATGTCCAAAAATTAGGACTTTTCTCAGAGTGAACGATGTCTAGAGTAACTAATTGTCGTATTTCTTAAAGGTTTCCTTCACATGAAACATAAGCCAACTGACCTGGTATCTGAGGTACAGGATATGGGTACGGCAGCCTAATGGGTTTCCGTGATGGCAGACGTGACCGACCATCCAAGTGGCTAACAAGCTGAATAGTGGCAAAGAGGATAAAATAAAATAAAAAAAAATTAGTAAAACAGTCTGTCAAAACAGCTACCTATATCAAGTGTGATTTTTGGCATACAGCTGCCATACCAATATCCACTACTTATATCTTAACCTTAACATAACCATCAATTGCTGTGTCAGGTGGCAAAGCCAACATAAGTCACCCTGTAAGTGCCTGACCAAATACCTTGCATTTCGGCAGATGAAGCTATGACGTGGATTTTTTTTTTAATTTCTGTCAATATGTCGTTTCATACACCCATGGATTTTTTTATAGTACATCTTAATTTGCACTCCCTCGAGAGACGTAGAGTGAGGGGCGATATGATAGAAGTGTATAAATGGAAGTCAGGGCTAAACAAAGGGGTCATTACAAAGGTACTCAAACTATCCAACCAGGAGCGAACGCTTAACAATCTTTTTAAATTAGACAAATTTAGATTTAGGCGCGAAATATGTAAACATTGGTTTGGGAATAGAGTAGTGGATGAGTGGAACAAGTTACCAAATATCATAATTAACTCAAATACGCTGGATAGCTTCAAACATAGGTTGGGTGGGTATATGAGCAATTGGGGTTGGGTGTAAATGGGACTGCCCAGTATGGGCCAATAGGCCCACTGCAGTTTCCTCCATTCTTATGTTCTTATGTTTTCTGTTTTTTTGTTTTTATTCATTCGAATTTGACCTTCATTTCTATGATGCTATAGTTTGAGGCGATAGGCTGAGAGATACATCAGCCAATACAGGCATCCCATGTAAATACATGACAGTAGTAGCTAATCATAGCACAGGAGCACTCTGAGCCTACCCACCCATGTGCACGGCACACATCGGTGCATGAAGCAATTGCTCGGAAATTCATTCAAATATTTGGAACAGATTTTTTCTTGGATTTTTCTGAATGCTTAAATTTTATTTTCTGAATACAGTGATGTAAAGTTCTGGGACTGAAGATTCTGACTATTGGAGATATTACCTATATGTATCATTGAAATCAGTTGATAACTAATGGGGGAATAACGTTTTGAATGACAATAAGTTATCGTTTGAGATATTAGGGGTACTGTTTTTGTTTTGTTTTTATTTTTTAGAAAAAATTACAATTCTTAAAATTTTTGCCATAATTTGGCCGGAAGATGCCCTTAAGAAATTACACACGCATGAATAAATTTGGGTATTCAAAATCTGTGCACTTGATTTCTTGGTTTATGATGAGAACTCAAGCCATACTCATTCTTCTTGCTATACTCCATAGCTCTGAGACAAGTTCATGTTTATTACTGTAGGTACCGGTATGTAAAGAGGGATGCAGTTTAGTGTCCCTCAAACTTCTCTCTTACTTTTGTATTGTGGAAGCTGTGCAAATATACCATTTTTATTTCTTGCTACTGTGCAGTATGGTGTATGTGTACAATACAGTATATATTTCCAGTCAGGATGTTGGACAGTATTTTTAACATCGATAACGGCTACCTAGAGGGCCTTGTGCGGGGCTTCAAGAATGGTATCTTGAAGCAAACTGACTACTTGAATCTTGTGCAGTGTGAAACCTTAGATGGTAAGTTTTTTGTATTTTTACCTACAGTATATTTACAGTAATCTAGTTTAGCCTTTGTCTATAAGTTAACCTAGACTCTTAGTTGAACCATTCAGGGGATCTATGGTCATATCATAAAGGATTGCCTTGATCAGAGTGTGCAGTTCAATCATTTGGCCAATTTCCCAAATTTTTTATATAACCCTCCAAATGTGTGCTGCTTTTGCAGTAGAACTTCCACACACGAGGTAGGTCCAGCACTTAATGTTTGGTCTTTCACCAAGGAGGGCACTGCTAATGATTGGACAGACCAGCATTTTAGCTAAAGGTCTGTGTAGGTAACATTCCTACAAATCTTAAAAAAAATGCTATTGATTATTTACTTGTTGTATTCTAGCAAATTATCTTGGCATTATAAAGAAGTTGATGATTATTGTATGCAATTTGATAGCACATTAATAAGTAGTACAGGTGTTTGAACTTTCACAAAGTGGTTTCATGGCGAAGAAAATTAAAGAGCCTTGTGTAGTCTTGTATGTGATAGGTTGTTCCATATTAGGGACAGTCATGAATTGACTCATGATAGTGTTTAATGATGATCTTTGTTGCGCTGCGGACTGTTTGAACCCAAGGAATCTATTAGCATGATCTTAGAAATTATGTTATAATGAATGATGTTCTACAACACTTGTTTTAAAAAAAAATCTGAGGGGATGTCTTTTGGGAACAAGATAGGCACCACAGAGATATTGTTTTATAGCAATATAGGATCCTTTGAGTGAGTGGATTTGCCATATTCTTTGGATTATCTAGAGGTAGGAGACATGGTCTCCCATATAACTGATGCACAAAGTACTGATTAGAATATTTACAGGAGGCAAGGAAATTTTCAACTGGTGAATAATTCCTGAACCTTTAAGCTAGGTAGAGCCTGGCTGCTCCATCACCAGTGCCTACTGTGACTAGAGAAGAGGGTGTTTGTCTATCTCTTATACTGTATCTTGTTTCTTTTGGTTGTCCTGCACCTGCCCCCTGTGCCTGTGGCTGAGCGGTAACTAGGATATGGCAAGATTCTTGATTCCAACATGGTCCTTGTAATGGTCATGAAAGATTGACAGTTGATAATGAGTTAGATTAGGATAATTGAAGTTGCAGTGGCTATATGGGTTAATTGTATTTCATGTAACATAATGCATTCTATATCCTTCTCTTAGGTTCATTTACAATAATGTAGTCCTTTTTTAGATTTCATCAGGAATTGTAGGAGTTGGCTTGATGTTTGTTTTATACTGTTATGTAGAATTTGTCATGATTGTTATTAATAAACACTATTATGAAACTAAATGTGGAGGTACTCGGGCTTATTTCCATTGTGATTGTCGAAGCAGTCTCACTAGCCCAGTCAAACTGCACAGACTGAGTTCTTGGTCTCAGGGGCCTTGCAATGTTTATGGGTTACTATCCTTGGCTCATACATGACTTTTCCAGTCATTATTCAATGTTAGTACAGGAGGAAACCAGAGTTCCTGGACAAAATCAGTGATGTTTAGTGGGATCACATTAAAAATCACCTTTCTTCCATCTGACCTGGGGATTAAGTCCAGGACACAATAGTGAGAGGTGAGTGCTGTACCACTGTATCACCAACACCCATGTTCCTTGCTACTGGTACAATATATACATTATATTATAAAAAGTGGGGTTAACTTCCCTTTGAGGTGCTATGGCAAATTGTGACTTGTAAGTTGACTGCCATCTACTCATATCATCATTATGGCTTTGACACTCGAGCGGCCAAGAGAAAGGCTACTAGTTATAAAGGAAGAATTGATTCTGAAATCACATTTTATTGCTGAACCCAGAATCAGACAGCTCGGAGTCCTTCCAACTCCTATTGGTTAGTGTGGAGGTCTGCTGAAAGTGAATGAACCTGAGAGCCTTCTTGTGACGACCCTGGAAATAAGAGGTGCACAGTAGTTTATGTGACACCAGGCTCTCCCAATCTCCTTCCTTTTATTAAATGGGGATAAAATCTATACTTTTATGGTACCCTGTTTTAGAGCAAATGTTTCTTTTAGGGAAAATTAGTTAGTCCTTCAGATGAATCTTAACCACTATTGTCAAGATATCTTAGGACTTAAATTGATGTTTTAGTGGGCTCATATACTGTACAGTACTCAAGCCACCTTGCTCTAGGTTTTGCTAGAAAATGGGATTTCACTAATCCTTATTAAATAATAAAATGTACAAAGTTTGCTTGTATAGTACTGTAGAGCACAGTATACAGTATTTTTACAAGTGCATTGTCCTAGGATGTCAGTACAGGGGGGTACTGTATTTCTATTTGGTTTTAATTAAAAAGAAAAATTATTGCGTGAGAATTAAGTACTTTGTAATTTTTTATTGTATTTCCTTGAGAAAAAGCCATGTGTAGAACAAAACATATTGGGTGACAATTTCTTTCTTTCATTGTTCAATCCATTTCACAGACCTGAAGCTTCACCTGCAGAGCACTGACTATGGTAACTTCCTGGCCAATGAGGCTTCACCTTTGCAAGTGTCAGTCATTGACGACAAGCTGCGGGACAAGCTGGTGACAGAATTCCAGCACATGCGTAACCATGCTGTGGAACCCTTGGGAACTTTCCTGGATTACATTACATATGGGTGTGTGCTTTGTCTGAGTACATTTACCTGTGTCTTCAGTATTAAATAAGTTGTAAATATTTTTAGGAACTTTCATATGAAGGTACTTACCAAATTGACAAATTCACCAGATATTTGGTCCAGTTTGTATTGTATTTAGAACAATACCTTCATTTATCAGATTACAGAAAAATTATTAATGATACTTATTTTATCTATAAACACATTTATATTCATCACATAATTTTGAATTGGTGGTGTTTGTCTATTTTTTAGATACAGCTCAGTGCATTGATTTATCTGATAAAATAAGAATTATCTAATCAAAAGTAATCTATAAATACATTTATAACCAAAGTTTGACTAGAATGACTCCTGAATATGTCTGCCAAAAGCTTGTTTGTTTATATTAATAGGTGTTTCTTACTAATGAGAAAAATTTACATATGTGGTTGTATTTATAGGTACATGATAGACAACATTGTGCTGCTAATCACTGGGGCTCTTCACCAGCGACCAATATCTGAGCTAATGCCCAAGTGCCATCCCCTGGGCACATTTGAGCAGATTGAGGCCATCAATGTGGCTTCCACCAGCTCTGAGCTCTATAATGCTGTTTTGGTCGATACTCCACTGGGTTGGTACTCCATGTGTTATGTTTGCTGATGCCTCATATATACAATACAGGCAATCCTCAATTTATAAAAGTTCTGTTCCTGGAATTTTTTTTACAGTAATTTGAAATTATATAAATTGAATGTAATTTACTATTAACTTCCATAATATAATTAGATATATGCTCTTGCCCATGCCAATTTTTTTTCTTTTGTGTTTAATGGGAAAATTGGTGCTATGTGAGGCCTATCCATTTTGTATTGACTCGCCAGTTAATGTTTCTGTACCGTACATACAGTATATGATAGCTTTTGCCTTTATATTGGATATGATTTTTTATATGGTGTTTAGCTGAAAATTTAACACACTACAGTACTACATAACACAGACTCATTAAAATTTTTATATTGTAGTTTGTTTATTTAGCATACAGTATGTCCCCGTTGAACATTAATCCTTTGAACGAATCCCCAATATAACGAAAGCAAGTTTTTACTTCCCATTTGCTAATTAACGAAAAAATTCTAATATTACGAAAGGCAAGTCACTCCGACCTATCTGCTTTCTTACCACCAGTTCCATAATCACCACCTAAATCGTAATTTCACCTTTCTCCCTCCCTTGCTACCATGTGATGATAGTATAATGCTGTACAGTACTGTACATTGTTTATTTGTTATTCTCACTCCATAATTTAGAATTTATGAAATGTTATGTCGAAGAAATGCGACATTGTTTATTTATACTTACACTCAATTTTGTGGGTAGACATCAGCTGTTCAACTGTGTCTGACAGTGATGCAGCCAGTGTTAACAAACAAACTGATTGACACATCCTTTCCTCATCACTTACCACAATCTCCTCCTCCACCACCAGCTCCATGATCACCACCACCTCTATTATCACCACCTAAATCATAATATCATTGATGCAGAGATGGATTTGCTTTAGCCAGAGCAGAGCAGCACAACATCCACTGCCTCCCATCCACTGCATCTCACCAGCACTCTGCCTCTCTCACTCATTCTACTATGACTCATTCATGATACAATGCTGTACAACAAAAAATACTGTATTTCCAAACCAGTAAATAAAAGACAAATGAAAGTTTAATACCGTACAATCGCCATTTGCGTACACTCCCTGTTTCACCTTAGTAACAGACCAGCTGGGAGCTACCTCCGCTATCTCCTTAGTGCCCTCCTCCCTCACTGAGCCGAGCCAGCTAACTCATGTGCAAAGAAATGTATATCCCTTTTACGTGTTTGCCCTTAGGACAATTTTTTCTTTAACTTTTTTCACAATTTGTATGCCGGATGGTGTGTGCATGTAGCCGAGTAAAAAATAAATGAAGTTACAGTTGTCTACCCGAAAATACAAGTTGAAAAACAACCATAACACCTCACGGCGTGGCCCAGTAGCCTGGTGGTTACAGTAACAAGTCTAACCTGGCTACAATGCCACCAGCGCTGTTAACAGATGCAAATGTGAAAAGATTGTTATCTGTAAATCTTCATTTGTAGATTTAAAAATAATTTTGCAGGTATGGCATTATAATATATTGTAATGCTTGCAAGAGTTCCAAAATGGTTACTGCTTAGCTACCTCTGAAAAATTGGGAGTATACCATACGGACATTAATTGTCTCGGGTTATCATCATCAATACTGTACAGTAGTTATGAATTGAGCTTTTATATTTACAATAATTATTTTTTATTTAATTGAAAATAATAATAATGTGTTTAAGTAAGCAATTACAATTTGAATTCGGGAGTTGGGTTACATAGAATTTAGCAACTGTGCCTTAAAGTATTGGAGAAAAAATGGCGGCACCAAAGAGGCGCATCATGTAATTTATTAGATATAGTATACACTGTAATATAATATAGGTCTGCATATTATTATAGTATCAATGGCTATGAATGTCTTGTGGAATGAATATGATGATGACATGGAATGGATATGGTGTGAATGTGGAGTGGATACAAAGGCAGGATGGTGATATATTGTAATGCATCAGATCTAATTGATATGTACAATATTCATATTATACAGTGCTATACACGAGTAATTCCCAGACATTTATTTCAGCCGATTTCTTCGGGGAATGTGTGAGTGAACAAGATTTGGACGAGTTGAACATTGAAATCATCCGTAACACACTATATAAGGCCTACTTGGAGTCCTTCTACAGTTACTGCAAGTCTCTGGGCGGCATCACTGCTGAAGTCATGTGTGAAATCCTGGCCGTAAGTCTTTTGTTGATAGTTGAAGGTGGAATCAAATCTATCATCTCTGTGCACCACAGGGTTGCACCTTAATCTCTTGAGAGTAATATACAGCTACTCCTCAACTTACGACATACTCGACCTACAACCACCCGGATGTACGACCGCCTCGGTCGTACCAAAATTTGGTCAAATTACGTATTTTCGAGTCCGAACGTTAGTGATTGCGCTGTGTACTGACAAAATTTTCGTTTGTAATTCACTTTAAAATGGCTGGCAAGCTTAAAAGTGAGAGTTTTGTGGTGCTGAGAAGTAAAAGAGACACCAATTTTAGATTTGCTATGTATTATTTAAGCATTTTCAACTTACGACCTGGATTTGGGTCCCTAACCCCGTCGTAAGTCGAGGAGCAGCTGTAATGGGCTGCATTGTAATTTCCTAGTATCATACTGTTGTACTTTATGGATGTCTTTAAATAGCAGAGAATTTTTATCATAATTGACACCCAAGACATTTTTCCCAACAATTGTGTTGAATTTTCTTGACAAGGAGACTGTTCCCCTCCCCTGGTGCCACCCCTGTCTTTAGTGCCTCACTAATTACTTTAGATGTCCAGAAAGTTGAATTCTACTTCTTTCTTTGACTATGTACAACAGGTTATTTGATAGAGAATGACATAGTGACATCTCTCAGGCAAAATGGGTTAATTTTGTCATAAACCATAGAATTATTCACATCATCACCCTCATTGTGCTATGGCCATTTTCCATCTTGCATGGTTTAGCTGTACATAGTTACCTGATGGCAGCCCTCCAAGCTGCTCAGTCTCTTGCAGCCTCTCTTACAACTTTCCCTGTGTCATTCTTGGCCAAACCCTGGCTCACCACCTCTCCACATCCAAACTCTTGCATCTATTGGCCCTTGAGGACCTAAGCATAACTACATTATCATTTGTTTACTCCAATGTTGAGTTTTCCAACCTTGACTTTGCCACATGATTACCTGCACAGACAATACACTTTAACATCTTCCTGCTGTCTGCTATTCACACCACTATACCTCTTGTGTACCCACCTTCCACACTCGCTACACATTATTTAATTATTGCCAATACCATTCTTACAGACAGCAGATGGCCATTTTCTATCACAAGTCCTTCACCCATGCTGACTAATCATTACTTTAGTTTTGCCTCATTCATACCCTTTGACTCTATTACACCCTTTTATCTCTTAGATTTCCCCACTATCTCTTTAATACACTCTGCTATCAACACTAAGTCAGCAGCATACAACAACTCCCAGGACAGACCAGTCTTAAAATCTTGTGATAGTGCCTCCAACACCATGATAAACAGAAGGGGGCTCAAGACAGACCCTTGATGAACCTTCCCTTTACCCCAAATTCCTCACCATTTACTCATTAGAGATTTCTGAGCCCTTATACAATGCCATAACTACTTGTACAAGACATTCCTCAACTTTCACAATGCCCACTGCACTTCCACACATGGTATCTGGTTAATGCCTTCTCTGAGTTCACAAATACAAATTACAACTTTCTTTTCTTTTCCAGATATTTTGCTTGTAGTTGCCTGGCCATAAATATTGCCTCCGTAGTCCCCTAAATGTGGCAGTAACCCAAACTGAATTTTGCTTATGTATACTCTCCCTTATCAGTTACTTGATCACTTTCCACAACTTAAATAACCTTATTTAACAGCTTCAGGCCCCTGTAGTTTCCACATTACCCTTGTAAATTTTCACAATTACACACTTCTGCCAGTCAGTTGGAGTAGTACATTCCATCATGATTGCATTAATCAGTTTGGTCACCATCGACACACTGACATCTGATGCTTTCAGCAGTTTGGCAGCTGTTACAGAGCTTCCAGTTGCCTTTCCATTCTTCACTTTGTCAATTTTTTCTTCACTTATTCTCTTTCAGTCCCTAGGAATGGTCCCTGTACTGGCTCTGATACATATGTACTCCTCATACGTCAGTCATTCATAGTATTTTCTCCAAGCACCCTTGATTTTTTCATTATCAAGAGCCACATCACTATGGTCATTTCTCATGAACTGTTCACCAAATTGATTAGTAATTTCATTTAGCCACCTTTGAAAACAATCCCTAAGTACATCCAAAAAGTGTATGGTATATTTTAAATCTCCTCCCCCAGATGACTACATCTTTGTCATTAATAAACCATGCTGTCTTAGAATACTTACAGCTGATGTAACTTATTGTATGTCTGTTAGTTATTTAAATACTGTTGTATGACAGTCAGTGATTGTCACAGTGTCAGATATCAAACTTATAAAAAAGTGAAAAAACTTGAGAGGGTACAGGCAGACCCGGGGTTACAAACGTCTGACTTACGAACATCCGACGATACGAATGAGGTTAAACTTTAAATTTACAGTATTTTATTTACCTGATGTCTTATTTTTTGCTTTCATTTACTGTATTTTGTCATTCTATTTCTTCTCTTCTCTTAAATTTTAAGTGATTTTAGATGTATATAAGGACTTAGGCAATGATATAGTGGGATTTTAAACATTGTTTTGTAAGTACGGTATGCACATAGCATGCGTTTTGACTTAGAAGTATGTACATTTTTTACTTAAGAATGTCCCCAGGAATGGAACTCGTTCATAACCCGGGAATTGCCTGTACTCAATATCTTCACTGAGAGTTTCATATGCTATGTTAATAGAATAGGAGTCTCCTAACAGATTATGGTGATAATATGCACTGTAAAAGAGAAAAGTGATGAATGAAGTTTCGATTCATTTGCTGGTGGAATGCTTTTTTTTTACAAATTTATGGCAGTTTATTATTATTATTATTTAATATGTATTTTTTCTTGGTTTCTTAGACTCCATATTAATCATATTCAGTTTGAGGCTGACCGTCGAGCATTCATCATCACATTGAACAGTTTTGGGACAGAGCTCACAAATGAAGATCGAAAGAAGCTTTATCCACAGTGTGGTAAACTCTATCCTGATGGCTTGGCTGCTCTGGCTCGAGCTGACGATGCAGAAAATGTCAAACAAGTTGCTGAGTTTTATACAGTAAGTTATGAAAATTTTAAACTTGGGTGATAGTTTGCTACAGAGACTTATGGTAAAGTGCATTTGTTGAATATACTAATTGTAAATTTGTACATATTATTATTATTCATAATACTAATTTTACCATTATACTATAATTACATATTTTTTAAGTGATCTTCACTTTAGGAGTACTGTATTGCACAAACATTTTTTATATTATAGGAGTATCGCGCATTGTTTGAGGGTGCTGGTAACAACCCGGGTGAGAAGACTTTGGAGGATAAGTTCTTCGAGCATGAAGTGAAGTTGAATATTAATGCTTTCTTGCATCAGTTCCACTTTGGAGTCTTCTATGCCTATCTCAAACTGAAAGAACAGGAATGCCGTAACATTGTTTGGATTGCTGAGTGTATTGCCCAGAAACACAGAGCCAAAATTGACAATTACATCCCCATTCTGTAAAGTATCTTCCTCTTAAGGTTTACTGCTCACAAGGTAAGTTCTTATTGCTTTAAAATGAAGATACAGTATCTCCAGAAATTTGCTCTTGAACCATAAAGCTAAATTTGATAACCCCTTTGTTTTATGTACAGTAATAGTATTTATGAATTTAATATATCTTGAACAAATATTAAAAGAACTACAGGTGTAAACCAAAATAAATTTTTGCCATCATTTTTTAGTATGGGGATCCATTCAATGTATCCTAAATTTGGAATTTCAAAGGTATGAAGGAAATGTACTTTTCCAAGTACAGTAATTCATTTTGTTACAATACAAAGTTTTTGAGAGTTACCCGGTAAAAGAAATTAGATACAAAATATGGTAATTGTTAGGTAAGAAATTTAAGATGGAAATCAATTCTCTTGTTCTATATATGAAAAGAATGTCTTAATATTTTGAAACTATATTTGGAAAGGGTATCTTACAAGACAAGGTTGTGAATTAACTCGAAACAAAAAGATCCTATTACACATAATGTTAGAAATGAAGAGCGAGGTAAGATTCTAAAGTGTTTCCTGCTTCTCTCTTGAAAATAATTAATTTGAACATATTGAAAAATGGTCATGGATGCTACCCAGTCCACCAAGAACATATTGCAAAATGTGTCTAATCAAGGAAGATGTATAATTAAAGCAAGGTTTTGTAAAGCTGGACATTTTGAAGTGTTAACACAATTCTTATAATGTTACACTTTTCTGTATTATAACTGGTTTTAGCAGTTATCATTGAATACTGTTTTAATAGTTGTTCAGCTGCATTTCCACCATACGACAAAAGATAATATTTAGTCAGATAATAATGATACATTATAAAGTTGCTTTGGAAAGAAGCGGTACATCCTCAGTATCATTTATGACTGAAAAGCAAAAACAAAAACCAGTTACTTGTAACCAGGACTTATATATAAGCCAAGACATTTGACATTTGTTTCATGTATAAACTTCTTATTTGGGCAAAGGGTTTCTTGTATATTAAAATCAGGTTGCTGGGTGAAATATCTAATTTCTTGTGTTTAAACCTAACAACTTATTGCCTCAAGATTCACTAATGGTGAATTCTCAACTAAGAAGTGCATACATGTAGGGATGTATTAAACATTCTGGCTTAATATGTATAGCTGTACTACTTTAAATGTTTTGGGTGTTGTGCTGTTAACCTAATAGCTTATGATGGCAGTGTATATTACATATTTATGAATTACTTGTACAGTATAGAACATATTACAAATGAGGAAGAATATATGTACAGGTATATGTTTAACAGTTTTTTGTGAAGTATTTGTCAACCTTTACTGTGTTTGTGATTATTAAGTATTTTACAATATAAAAAACTGAAGGGAAAATAACGTTTTAGATTGCCTTTACACACATCAATTTAAACATTCCAAATACTGCACTTGTCTACCATTAGTCAAGATGAAAAAAATTGTCACAGAAACTTACTGTAACATCTGAAAGCACAATATGTTGATGTGTGTAATATTGCTTCCTCAAGTGAAGTACCGGGCTCAAAAGTTCACTAGATTATTATTTTTATTTTTTTTAGAGTATGTACATATTAGTAGGTGTTTACCAAGATTAATTACCTTTAATTGGAGAATATTAGAAGATAGTGGTTAAGTCCTTTTGAATAATCTTACTGTTAAAAGACCTTTATATGTTAGGTCAATAATTTTCAAACTTGAAAGAGTTATCAAAATCTAAATAATAAAGGTAATAGTATATGAATGATAATTTTTTAACTTCCCATGCAAGACCTTAATTAATTCCTAGTTATTTTGTGGGACTATTTGTGTGGAGGCAGTAAACAATACATGCTAGCCTCGGAAGTAGCACTATAAACTTCAGGTCAAAAATTATATTTTTACAAGTACAAAAAAAGTAACCCATAACAGGTATGCCTTTCCTAGCTACAAAAATTTCTTCTGAGGTGGTGGTCCTAGTAGAAGAGCCACCAGGTTAACCAATCATACATTTTCCTCCCCCTACCAAATGCACCTTCTACATTGCTCCTTTTCCTCTTGCTTCCTTCTTACAATTTACACCCCCTGCCATTCCATACACATAACTGTTTTGTATCTTCCATTTTGTTAACCCCAGCTGTGTCACTGTTTTTTGGAGCTGGAATTACAAATTATATATTGATTATTTTCTATTATATAATACTGTTATATTATTTATGATGAAACACACCATAAGAGGCTGATCATACAAGAATATAATAATGAATAAATAAAAACATCTGGCTATCGCGACACGGCCAGTCCCCCCCCCACCTCCAGCATGTTTATACGTATCATTTTTCATACCTATTAGCTCTCGTTAGGCCTGTCCAGTATCTCCATTAAAGACCATACAGTATATATTTTAATAACATATAAGGTACATGTAATATTTTTTTTAAATGAATAATTTTTAATGAATGGACAGTTAATTAAAAAAATACACCTTATATATATATATATATATATATATATATATATATATATATATATATATATATATATATATATATATATATATATATATATATATATATAATTTTTTTAATATATTTCCTTATTATAACCATAAAAAATGAGGTACAACAGATGACACTTGTGTAAACATGCTGGAAGGGGGAGTACTATGCTGCGATCACCAGTATGTTTTCTTTTATTCATTGTTATATTCTCATGTGATCAGCCTCTTATGGTGTGTTTCATGATAAACAACATAACATACAGTATTATATAATAAAATAAATACAATATATAATTTTTAATTTTACTTCAAAATAGAAGGATAAGCTGAATCAGAAGGTAATCTCTTCCCTGACGGTGGTGGGTGTGGGACTGGCCTGGCCACACTTGCATTTGTTTTTATTAATTTATTATATTCTCTTATGGTGTATGTTTCATTATCAATAATATAAATAATAGAAAAAATATTGTACATAACTTGTAATTTTACTTCAATATGAAGGAAACACACACATAACATCTATTGCACACTAGAATCCCCCCACACCAAAAAAAAATGTTAAAAGTCTGGATTGTATACAATATTTAGGTTCTGGACCTTTTTATACTACAGCAATATTTTCCTTTTCTGTGCTTTGCATCCATAGCTGTTGTCTTAATGTATACTGTACAGGTACTTATGACGGGGTTAGGGACCGACATCCAGGTCGTAAGTCGAAATGGTTGTAAGTCGGAAATGCTTAAATAACACATAGAAAATCGAAAATTTGGGTCTCTTTTTCTTCTCAGCACCACAACATACTCACTTTTAAGCTTGCTAGCCATTTTAAAGTGAATTACAGAAGAAAATTTTGTCTGTGTACTGACTTTGGGACTCAAAAATACATAATTTGACCACATTTTGGTACGACTGAGGCAGGTCGTAAGTCGGGGAGTACCTGTATTAGATTTTGAGGCTGTTTTCTACTTTGTGCAAAATTTTCTTCTTGTAAGTGATTTAGTCCTACATTTCCCCCTTCACTTCTTTGCTGCTGTACTATAATTATTTTTTCTGTTCTCTAGTTTAGCACTTTGCATGTGGTTTTCTAGTTGGTTTTTTTTTTTTGCGTTGTTAGTTTTAAGTATTTATCATATTTAGCAAACATCTTATTCTTTTGTATAAGATCCCAAATGAGGAATTGAGTATTTTTTTTGCTGATCAGTCTGTTCTTTGCATTCTTTATAATAGCTGCTTTATTTTGTTCTTTGCAGGAAAGATATCTGCTTAATGTGTTAAAATATATTTTTCTGTTTGCAAATTTTCTCCTCATTCTTTGTTCCCTTTCATTTACTGTGGCCAGGCCATTCCTTCTTTTCATCACCTTCATGGCAACCATAGTTTTCTCATAAATTTTGTCCCACCTACAAAACTGTTTATGCTGATAACGGTATACATGTTCCTTTAAAAATAAGCCCATGTTTGCTAACATCTTTTGAAGGAAAATTAAAAATGAATTCTCTCCCGGAGTTACAGCGCCAACTCTGTGGCCAAGTTTAGGTCCACGTTTACTAATTATTGTAGTCATAGCGGTAAGTGCATGTTTCATATTGTTAACCACAAAGTCACTACCCAATGCTGCTTTTACCCAATCACTGATTGCTGGGCTCTTGTCTGGCACTACTCTGTGATGTCCCTCCATTACATTCTCCCTAACACTGATTGTAGCAATACTGTCCTTTTGTGTAGTATTTGTTTTCATCACTGGAGCAGCATTATTATTCAGTATGATGCATCTTCCCCCAGAGTGTTCCATATCTTTCTGAGCTGTAATAGTAGTCAAGTATTTAAATTTGTGCGTCTCAAAACTTTGGCATGGATGAGTTCTCTGCATGTTTGATCTGGCCTCCATGTGATCCAGGGTTTGTGGTTGCTTTTGAGTAATGATTTTTCCTATTTCCAGTATAACATTGTTAATGGTACACATCAGCTTTGTTTCACATGCTATACATTCATTACGTGTTGTTTCGATTAATTCTTTGTACTTTTGCAGTTTATGCCATTTAAGTGTTGCTTTCATCTTGGCACATTTTTCTGCATAACTTTCTAATATAAACTTGTAGCTATGAACTTTGTGTATTAAATTCTCATACTGATCCCAGGCTGCATTCCTGCTTTGAATTAAGTTAAAATATTCCCCACTTACTCTTTGGTGGTGTTCTTCAAGACTCTTTAAGAACTTTTCATGTGTGTCCTGGTATTTTTGGGCCTTCACTCCTTCGTCACGCTGTAAACAAATATTTATAAGAAAGGGATTTTATATGGAGAGTACTACAGTAGAATACAACTGTAAGACATCTATTACAGCTGAAAGAATAAACAAAATTTACAGGAAAATTGTGTGTACTACCAGGGGTGGCAGAACAGTACGGTACATTTTTTTTTCATAATTCGCACTAGAAAAAAGTATCATACTGTAATTCCATACCATACCTAAAAAAAATTGCACCTTATAATTATGGAAATATATTGTACCATAATTTTGTACCTCATATCATACCTCAAAAAGAAATAAATCTGAGAAAAGGATACATGAAAAATACATTTATATTTGCCACTTACATGATTATGAGCACAAAAGTTTGTTATCCTTTTAGTAGTGCTAACCCACATTATGTTCTCAGAAGAAGGTATAAGAAAAAAATTGTCAAAGCAAAAGATTCATAAGAGTCCTGGCCCTGACATGATGCATCCCACAGTGCTTAGAAAGTTGTGCAATGAGCTTGCTGAGCCCCTGAAGATCCTTATCTGTAAATGCCTGGATGAGCAAAAGGTCCCCAGTGACTGGAAAATGGCTTATGCAAGTCCTATATTCAAGAAGGGCAATCGTTTCTCCACGAATAATTATAGAGCAGTGTAAGTAAAGTACTGAAGAGCATTATAAGAGATGCCATGATGAAACATCATCTGTGAAACAATTTTGTAAAGGACTGTCTACACAGTTTTATGCCGGGACACTCCTGCTTAACAAAATTACTCAAAGTGCTGGGTATTTGGATTCAAATTCTGGAACAGGGCTGTAATATAAGAACATAAGAATGGAGGAAACTGCAGCAGGCCTATTGGCCCATACTGGGCAGTCCCATGTACACCCAACTCCTTTCGCTCATATATCCTTCCAACCTATGTTTGAAGCTATCCAGCATATTCAAGTTAATGATGTTTGGTAACTTGTTCTACTCGTCCACTACTCTATTTCCAAACTAATGTTTACCTATTTCGCGTCTAAATCTAAATTTGTCTAATTTGTAACCATTGTTACGAGTTCGCTCCTGGTTGGATAGTTTGAGTATCGACAATATAGTATACCTAGATTTTGCCAAGGCCTTTGACAGTGTACCCCATGAAAGGCTCAGAATTAAACTGGAAAGGTAAGGGATTCAGGGAAGTGTCCTAGGGTGGATTGGAGACTTTCTTTATGATCGTCATGTGTACCATTGACAAGCGGGGTACCACAGGACAGTGTAATGAGCCCATTGTTGTTTGTGTGTTTCACAAATGTCATGCCAGAGGCTATACACTCCTCCATGCAAATATTTGTGGACGATGCCAAGTTATTTATGGAAATTAAGAACCAAGCCTACTGTGAAGGGCTGCAGAAAGATCTCTTGTCAACTTCAGGTTTATAAACATCTCAGAGGACACTACTTAGTTGAGTTCATACCTGGAGCTGGTGGATACTTGTTCCACAAGGGGTCACAGCTCAAAGTTGAAGAATCCACAAGTCCAGAAAACTGTGAGGGCAAACTTTTTCAGAGAGAATTGTAAACTCTTGGAACAATCTACCAGTGTTATGATGGCACCATGTGTGAGCTCTTTCAAGATAAGATTTGACCAACACTGGAGCAGGTTCAAATACATTCAGGGGCCAGAGTATACCCAGTACTTGCCAATAGTGCATTACAGAGACATAACCAATGAGCTGATCAGTGGTGAAGAGGGTGAAATAAAGTATATAATCATTACTCTAATGATTCAATTAGAATTTTTGGCTTAAAAAACTTATAAGCAAAGTGATTGGTCCTAAGAAATAAAAATAAGTGGTTCAACACCCTTCTGTCACTGGAAATGAGAACACAATGTAATTACCACTGACGATCAATTACAGCAAACTTTTCCCTAACAAAAGAGACATCTTAAGCTACATTAGATGAGGTTGGATATCTCACCAAACAATCCAGCAGCACACTCTCGTCTTCAGCATACAATATGTCAGGTGGCGTGGAGAGAAGAACCTCGTACTGGATCTTCAACTGTTGTAACTCTCCACGCAGTACCTGTAGGACTGCTGTGATATCCTTATCATGGCAGAAGTGAAATATACGCTGCAGGTACCCGTAGTCAGGGCACCAATGGTAATTTCTTCCCCCAAAATCTTGATCTGTGATGTAGGGTGTCTGGAAAAAAAAGAAATATGAAACTACCGTACAGTACTTAATAAGTACCATATAAATTAAGAAACACTAATGAAGATGAGCATATTTTCAATGATTAATATCCTAAAGCAATTCACATTCATAAAAGACTAATCACTTAAACTACCATGTTCTATAAAGTTATACAAGATGAAAATGATTGTTAAACTAAATTATCAAGTTTAGTATCATGAAATTTTTTTATGTACTTATACCAAGGAGGTTTTAAGAGAGGCAATGGCATCAGCCGTGGATAATGAAGCCACTCTTCACTAACAGCGACCATGCTGGTACGTATTGGCAAATCTGGGTTTTATTCTGTGCATTCAGTTACTGTATTGTCCATTTCAGCAAATATCTTAAGGAAATGTTCTTATAATTAGCACATTATTAAACCTGGCACTTTCTGAGCACAGCAGATGGATGGTGGACAATAAAGCTTTTAATCTATATACAGCTGCTCCCTGACTTACGACGGGGTTAGGGACCCAAATCCAGGTCGTAAGTCGAAAATGCTTAAATAATGCATAGAAAATCTAAAATGGGTGTCTCTTTTTCTGCTCAGCACCACAAAACTCTCACTTTTAAGCTTGCCAGCCATTTTAAATTGAATTACAAACGAAAATTTTTTCTGTGTACTGACATTGGGACTCGAAAATACGTAATTTGACAAAATTTTGGTACAACTGAGGCAGGTCATAAGTGCGGGTGGTCGTAAGTCGGGGAGGAGCTGTATACAAGAATACGTAATCTCAAAAATAACTTACAACATTGTGGTGCAACAGTTTGATCTTTTTGTTCCTCTGGTTCCCCAAGTCTCTCTGAGGGACGTAACTTTGTTTTGCATCGTCATAATGTTCCTGGATCAAGAAGAAAAACTGGTAAAATTATTATCAATAAAGAGTTTGGTACAGGTATCCCTCTTTTAGCATTAAATTATTTAACATAATTCAGTTTATCAATAAAACAAATTTGACACCCTTTTTCACTCTGTTAATGCTGTTTCATCCCTTAGGGACACATGATGTGATATGCCTCCTTACTGTTGATACGACCTCTTACACTTCGTGACATTGAACATTAACAGCCATTCCTTCGACCACTCTTGAAGCTGACAAAGATCTTTCTGTAGCTCTTCACAGTCCATTTGGTTCTTAATTTCCCTGAATAACTTGGTATTGTCCCCAAACATTTGCATGGAGGAGTGTATAGCTTCTGGTATGGGTTATACATAAGGGGAAGTAGTAGAGGCATGTGCACCAGTTCAGAACCAGGGGACAGTGTTGATCAAGCAAGTCTGGTCTTGAAAGAGCTCACACTCGGTGCCATCACAACACACTGTGACGATTGTGCGAAGAGTTCACAATTCTCACGCCGAAAAAGTTTGCCCTCACGGTTATCTGGACTTAGCAACCAACAAAGATTCAGCTTCTTATAATTTTGTCTATATGTCCCTTTCCCTTATGATCTGCAATTGCCTCATTTACTTTGGTAATACAGTCAGGGCAATACCAACAACAGCCTCCATGCTTAACGTTTTCTGCGGCATCCTAAACACCATTATGGTCAGACCCACAAAATCCTCACATGAAGCCTCCCCACAGTAAGTGCATGTCAACATACTCCCTGGTGATGCTGAGATTTTACCCTCTGATTCACTACACCTATGCATGTCTTGTCACAAATTTTTTTCTCTCTTTTATGGACAAGCAGTATTTGACAAGTGTTACCATTGGCAAACTTGAGGGAGAGGGTTAGCTAACACGAAGGGGGAATGTGTGAAGTGAGCATTTGTCAGATTTAATGGCAATTAAGAGTGTACCATCTATAAGAATCGTCTTAGCCTTAAGCACAATTTAGGATGTGATGTAAATTTACTCTAAGAGTTATTATTATTTTTTTTTTTATTATTATTACCAGTATTATTATTATTACTATTATTTTATCTTAACAAATCTATCCTATTCATCCCTCAAAATACTGTACATATCATCTATTTCGTATACAGTTTACTAATTCCTTCTCCGAGTCAAAATGATCCATTCATCCGTTTATCACTCAAAAACCTACTTTCTGTAACTCATTCTCCTCACCACACTTGAACACCTCCCTTTCTGGATCACTCAGAAAGCCCATCTTCACCAATTGACACAGCAATTCTATTGTTGTCTTGTCTCTTACAATCAACCTCGGTTCTTCAACAGCCTCCATGAGTCGTATCTGTAATGAACTCATTATCAGGATTTGTCAGTACAAATGGATACTGATGCAGTAGTATAAAAACAGGATTCAAAACTGGTTCCAGTTCACTCATCAGAGGCTGGTGGAGCTTATATTAAGCTATTAAAAGGCTCCTCAGTGCTTGTCCAGCTGAATATTTAAAAGGGTGAACAAATAATGAGGAACCAGAAGGCAGGAAACGGATATATATGTTTCAGAGAACATATACAGAATTCCCTGATTCTGACTGATCCAAGCACTCCAGCAACCTGTAGTGAAGCTACTCAAAACTTAAAGAGCTTGTAACAAACTAATTGTTGTGACATGGAATACCGATAATAGCTAGAGGGGATTGTACTGTACAGTACTGTACTAACATATGTCTGTTAACATGCAGGGCCTATTTCATGAGATTCACTTGTATTGTACTGATAAATTTCCACACTATATGTTTGGTAAATGCATTATTTGGCCAATACAAGTGCTTAAAACTTTTACCCTTTGAATCATAGCATGTAAATGTCAAAGTCAATACCAGTACAGTAATTAGTTTGAACAAGTTAACATCATCCATTCCTGAGTTATCATAACACAAGACAGACAAGATAGAATACCTTCCTTAAATTTAATATTAGTGACAAATAACTTCACATCAATGATCTTTTCATACAAACTCTAATATTTATGCCCAACATGAAAGCAAAATAATACCTGTACTCCAAAACTCAGCACTATATTTGAACCAATTCTCTAAAATAAACAGCAACTTCCCTCTTGCCAGTTACATCAAACTCCCAGATCATTGGTCATCATATTTCATAATCAGGACTCTGGTAGCTACTGCATAAACACCTAGAGTTTATATGGATCAATAAATATGGCACAGTAAATCCATTAACACCATACAACCCCAAGATGATCAGATCACTTTAACCACCACAACACATCCAGGTCATGAACAACCTCACATCAACCACTGCACTAAGAAAAACACCAAATAAACCCTGTTAATCATCACAACACCAAATCAATCAGAGTACCGTCCTCATATCTGAGGGTTGGTGACCACAGTCCTCCACTCTAAAATGTTTTGGGGCTGTTGTTACCAATTCTCCAAGATTTTATATCTCTCTGGAACCCAGTTTTTAATTTCATTCATCAATCCTAGTCTCTACCATCCCCTGGCCCTCCTACCCTCAACTTTGCCCTTTAATATTTCTGTTATTATCCCTCACATTTAATTATACTATAACCAAAGTATCTCAGTTTTCTTTTTATGTAGATTTCAAATATTTCTCTTGAAGTTTTTATTAACCTGAATACTTCCTTATTTGTTTTCTTGTCAGTGTAACTTATTCTCAACATTAGCCTAAAACAACACATCTCAAAGGCCTCTAATCTCTTTCTAGTGTCTGCTGAGTGTCCACGCTTCTGATCCATACAAGAGTCCTGGCCATATATAGCATTTGAGCAGCCTTTTCTTATATTGAAGTTAATATCCATTTTTATTAGGTCTTTTAGATTATTAAATGCTGTTATTGCCTGACCTGTTCTTCTTGAAGTACGGTATACAGTATATAATTACATATTTTAATCAAAACATTTAATCCCATTCTTGCCCATTTGTTTTATAAATTCTGTTGGAAGCTAATCAACCCCACAAGCTTTATCATCTTTCATTTTGCTTACAACTATCTCAACTTCTGATCCCAGCATTAGTAATTTGATCTTAAGTCCATTTCCATTTCTTACCTCCACTCTTTCATTATTATTGTATAGTCCTTCTACATAATCTGCCCATCTCTCTTTTACTTCTGTTGCCACAAACAGGATCTTTTTGTCTTTGCTTTTAATAGTCCCCCCACCCCATTTATTTCCCTACAAAACCAATCAATTCCACACTACCCTGCAACACCAAATTACCCCAAGTTACCCAGCTTAAGAACCCTAAGTTAAGCGCCACAATGTCACACTACTCCATAACATTATACAACTCCACAGTAAACACCAAAATAATCCTATGACTAACACAACTGCACAACTAATACCACAATATACTAACCTACAACACAACCAACTTGCCAAAGTATTCATTATTAACCACCACAAAACCACACAACACCACACCACTAATTCATCAAATAACCCACATTAACAAACATCACATCCCCACCATACTCACTATTTCAGCCCTGGCCATAATCTTCGCCCTAAGCAGCCTGGCACGCCCCATCTTGACCTCCATGTATCGCCACACTCGTAAATTCTTGTCAACACCTAGCAGCTCTTTACAGTACACCAGCTTCTCATCCTCCTCCCCCTGTATTGTGATATTTGTGATTAATAATACTGTATCTGTGCTTGTACAAAACTCTACAAGTATTCTCAAGTGATAAAACGATTTTGGTAAGTGACACATGAAGACACTAATGAATAATGTACAGGGTATATGAGTAAATTGAAGAAAAGCAACCAAGGGTTTACCTAAAAAATTATTCAGGCAAACAAAACCTGTCCAGGAGAGCAATGTTAAATGACACCAAAAAATTACACAATAATGATTTTTAAACTACTACTGTACACTGTGTATTTCCATTAACAAAAGAAGAAGTATGGACCATTCACCTTATACCTGTACTGTATAGTGTATGTGCTTCACTTATTGATGTAATTAAATTTTGGGCTAGTAAATACTGTAGCTACCATAAATGATTCTGTTACTACCTAGAAAAGCATCCTGAATAACCTTCACAGACATATTCTCTCTCATTGGGAAACTTAAAGAGATACCTTCTGGTGAGTAACAGCCTAAAGATACATTCCCAGACACAGTCCCTGATGAATAACAGTTACAGACACATCTCTGATAAGTAATATTAACAAAATTAAACTTCAAGAAGACTATACAGTACTGATCTTAACAGTCACACACCCTAAAAGTAATTTTAAAAGTAATACACACCCCAAAGCTCAAGTTTTACATACAGTACACTTTCCCTTAGGAGTAAGCTTGACAGAGTCACACTCCCTAAAGAGATTTATCACAGACCCACACATACCATAAATAGTAAACTTCTGACAAATTCCCTAACTAGTAAGCATCAACATGCTCCCTTCAAAGTAAGCTTCACAGATATACAATTTCTAAAGAGTAAGCTTCACAGATTTACATTTCCTGAAAAGTAAGTTTTAGATACACTCCGTAAAGAGTAAGCTTCACAGATACACTCCTAAAAAGTAAATATATCACCCAAGCGGCTAACAAGCCGATCAGTGGTGAAGAGGATAAAAGTAAAAGTAAAAAAAGTAAACACACACACTCCCTTATGAGTAATATTCAAGACACTGCAAGAGGAGGAAAGCAGCATGGGTGCCACACTCACCTTATAGTGCGAGGTCAGTCTGCGGACAAGATAGGTGTAATTCTGTACGCCGGTCACCTGGTCCTGGTAGATCTTCTCATTCATAGGCATGGGACGTATACCTGCAGACACCAAAAGGTAAATGCAATAAGTTGTTACTAGTTATTGGAACCGAGAGATATTTAATAAAGAAGTAAGCTTATCATCTTACGACAGAAGCTTAGGGGCTTATTTGCATGCAAGATATAAATTCAAGTAAGGCATACATGACTGAGATAAGTTGGGAAAATTCAAGATGACAAAACACAAGACACATAGATGTCAGATAACAAATTAACCATTTTTAATTATCGATTTTTGGACATAGGTCTCTATGCAACAGAGACATGACCAACTGCCTAAATGGCTAACAGGCTGATGAACGGCAAAAAGTTCATTCAAATTAAACATTAAAACTGTCTATTATTTTACCAAATCAAAAGATGGCAGTTTTTGGACTCAGACCAAGGCAGAGTAGAGATGTTAAATTAATTCTTTTCCTCAATATTTACATGAAAAGATGCAAATACAGTATATATGAATAACAGCTTCGTACTGCAAAAGGCATGAATTTGTGTAGATTAATAAGTTTGTACAGTACCACAATTCAATGGACTGTGAGCTGAGGAAGATTTATTGTATTTTAAGTGAGGTCTTTATACAGTAAGTCCTCCATGTATGAGAGGGATGCGTTCCTGAAAACCCTCACATAAATCAAAATCGCATATATCAAATACTTAGTTAAATGAGAAAAAATAGGATGCATTCCATACCCAGAATGAAAATGTTCCAGACCCATTTTCAATACAAATAAACCATAAAACAAATCAATACAATATTATTTTAAAAATAATAGATAAAGCAAGTGTACAATACAGTGTACTTAACAATAAAAGCTGAAACATCAACTTGGGTAGACAAGATGATGGAGGTGGTGGCAGAGGTTTTACATAGTGGGTGATGGTGTTGGAGTGACATGTGCAGAGTCATCAGGGTTGGAATCCATATCAGGGATTGAGACATGTCACATAAGGCTGATTTTTGCTTACTTTAATTGAATTCCTGGTAGGAATAGGTCTTCACATATGAGTGAATTCACATATATGAAGGAATTACTGTGCCTGGAATATTACAATCATGAAAAATCAATGAATTACACTCACAGTCAGGGCTGTAGACCTGAAACATTTGATAGTATCTCTGTGGAAGGAGCTGGTGTGGATATCGAAGACGATTCAGAACATCAGTGAGAACCTCCTGAACTCGGAGAAAATACTGAACTGGTATGGTAGTATTATCATCCCCGTAATTGTCCGAGAGCGTGACAGTCACGGCTGACACTTCAGGAGTCTCCCGCTGTTGCTCCACAAGCGTTCTTAAAAATACCTCTTTGTCAACAATGTTAGCTCCCTCTGCAAGTGTGCTTAATTTCTCAGCGCACAGGTTAACAGTATTGGAGTCTTGGATATATTTATTCTCCACTTGGGCTTTACTTAAGTATTTCTCAACATATTTTCTCAAGGATGAGGGTTTAGGTGAAAGTGGCTTCTCAACACCTCCATCCTCTGTGAAGACATTATTTCGATACACTTGTTTTTTTTTAATAACATTTTGCACTCCTTGAGGAAATTCAGTTAGTAGTAAATGTGCAAACTTGCAGAATCCTCTAAAACTTCTAGTCTGTTTTTTATAAATTTTTGGCAAGTTTATTGGCATGCCATGCCCATACTGTCTGTGGTAGTGACACTTCCCAACACTAACGTTGCATTTTCTCCTTTTCAATTCTTTTTTCTTCCATTTTGCAAAGCTGAATTTAGGATCGACGTGTTTCCAATGCCTAGCATTGGATGTGATAGGAGACATTCTTAACTGTGATTCCTGTGAAAAAAAAATACCAATAATAAGTGATAAATTTGTATATAAAATAGCTGAAGTGTTGTAAATAACACATAAATATACAGTAATATACCTACAAAATTGCATAAACCTGTCTTTCCTTTATCAAGTGACACAGGAAGCAACCAAATCTACTTATAAATTAATTTCATAGGTTATATCAGCTTTTTTCTTGTAGGTTCCTCTATAAATGACTGGCCATGGGAATATGAACCCTACTATTAACATGATGTTAAATTTCTAATGGTCTGATGTGCTCTTTTCACTGTTAATTAAAAATATAGAAAAGGAAATCACTGAAGGACAAAACACAAACTCAGCAACTCTTAACCTTTACTTCAGTCGTGGATACCCGCTGGAGGGTGGGGGTGGGTTGCCCCCCCCCCTCCCTGGATCAAGTTTGTGTCAAAGAAAAGCAGCTTTTGCTTGGGTAAGGGGATTAATTTTATCATTTTTCTGGGGTGGCACAAACAATTCCAGTACTGCACACTAGTAAACCCTTGCTATTTGTGGCACAAATTGGCAAAACTGCGAATAGCAACTTATACTACCTTAGTGCACTACTGTATACCTATACTGTACAGTGTATGTGAAACTTAAGTCACCAATACTACTATCCTTCATATGTAGAAGCTTGGAGTTTGATAAAATGCACTGTACAGTAGAATGAAATCTGGTTACTGAAGCATAGGGAGATCATCAGGATCACTATTGGAAGAGGGTGATGCAGTGGTGGTTCGTGGAGAGGCATGGAGACGGGTGGTGGGGTGGTGTGTGGCGAAGAGGTGGGTGGTAGAGCAGCGGCAGCAGATGACCGAATAGGTAAGGGAGACAAATCAGCTGGGTGAGCGGCTGGTTCTTTCTTGAAAACATTGTGATTGGTTGTTATTTCCTCTTGGTTTTGAGGTGTCTAAACATTTCACTTCACTAACATCACTAGCACTGACACTAGGCAGTCTTTTAGGGACCATTTCACACAGAAACACTAAAGTTTTCAGTACAACACAGGAGATACTGTGTCACAGACAATGATTAAGCACAAACATACGGAGAGGAGTGAGAGGAGATGCTGCGTGCATGTGGGGGTGACTCGTTGCGCTGTGGGCAGGCTCGAAAACTAACCACTATCTGCTTACCATGTATAGTCAAAATCGCAAATTGCAAACCCGCGAATAGCAAGGGTTTACTGTATAAGAGGTCTGGGTATGTTTTGTCAGTTACCTCAGGTAACAGAGTTAAAACTCCTGACCCTAGGTTCGGCAATTGACAACCCAGGTAAAATTTGATCAGGTGATTTGGTGAAAACCATACACCCAGCTACTTTAGCTTGATACAAGATGTCATCGTGACACTGACCATATTTGTTTTAAATTCAGTCATTTACTCCACTGGAATACAAGAGTTAATAAGGTAAGAAAAGTTTAATATTTGTTGAAAAGAGGTTGACTGAGATTTAGCCGTGGCACCATGGTTTAATATCGTTTTTTTTCTTTGTGTCGCAGCTCTGTGGTTTTAAATCAAGACAGTGCACTAATGTCTTGGTACTGTGAATTTATATCATTGCCCTTTTCACTTTGCAGTCATGAGTGTTAATGAACAAAGATTTGTGAGAATAAATAAGGACTCAATAAAAAATTAATTGAAATTTTTGGATAAGATCCAAAATGCCAGCAGTTTTTATTCCATAGTAGCTCTTGAGAAGTACAAGGAGCATGAAAATGATGCAAAGAATGTGTAATTTTTCCTTTACAATTCCCTATACAGTATTTCTATCGCAAATTTCACGATTCTTGTTATATTATTTTCTAAGTCCTAATTCTAAGTTTCCAAGTTCCAACCCTGTTGTGTAAATATTGATACCCTGTACCTGTACTGTATAGTGTATGATACAATCCACAACCACAGTTTATATAATTATTTAGTTATACATGTGATGCAGGTTATAATACATGTGATGCAGCTTATTATCCATGTGCTGCAGTCTATGTACACTAGGGATAAGTTTTAAACATGTGCCATATAACTGTTTCAAGTAACCCCACCTTTATGAATTCATATAAACTTGATGTATCAAATTCATTATGCAGTATATTAATAAGTCTGTGCATGGTATAAATTTGAGGAAAAAAAGCGAAAAACTAAAACAATATTGAACCTGCCATACCGAATGTGGGAGCTAGCCTATCCCCTTGCAGTGTGTAGGACAAACCCTCAGATAAAAATCCCTACGACAAAATCCCTCTGGCATAAAATTCTAACCAAACAAACTTATCCTAACATAACTATGAGAAACAAATTTAAATGGCGGGTACTTTGTCTTACTATGCACTTACTGAGGGATTTGTCCCCTCTCTGGAAAAGGTCTGACAAACCTCCATGACTTTTAGTGTCCAGAAATGCTAACACAAATAAGACTAAAACAAAACTGCAAATGCAATCAATGTTGTTTGCACAAAACTTCCTTAACCATATCCATAAAATCCATCGGTGAAGAGCATAATACCTATCCTCGGCGATTGATGTGAGCAAGACGTGAAGTTCGGCGGCAAATCACGTATGTGAGCGCAAAGGCAACTTTTTTCCTTAATTTTACCACTTATCTGCTTACTATAGCCGTTCGTTATTACGAACTTTATTTGTCCAGAGTCAGTAGAGAGGAATCTTGTAATGTTTGGTATGGCCTCACTTTCTCAGTCCTCACTCTACGGACCAGTTGCACCTAATAACCTCGGTGTTCCGTTGTTACAATCGCGTGCAAATAACGCCCCTGGTATCTTTAGATCTCTACATCATAAGTGCAAATACCCACTTCGTAAATAGTTTTTCATGTTAGCTTATTGCTACAAATTAAGTTCATAATCATAGCTAATTGTAATGTATTTCGAGTTTTCGATGATCTATATTACTTTTTGTTCCCCAAATTACGATCAGTGGTGAAGAGTATAAAAGTAAAAGTTGAATTGGTTCTGGTGATTCTGAAACAAAACAGTGGTGCCTTTATGGGAATGCTTAAGTGGTGCCCAATCGATTATATGTTTGGTTGTAATTATATGAATTAATCGGAATGGTTTAAAAAAATTTATTCATAGGCTTTTAACCAACGCGACATGCAATATCATGTCACAGTGTCTCTTTTTAGTTAGAAAGGTTCGGTGAAAACTTAATTATAGTTGTTTCATTAAATATTGCAGTTGATACAGGGTGTTGATAGTATAAAAAAGCCTGTCGGTGTTCAGTGTAGGAAAAAATGTAATTTCCTCTCCTACCCAGCTGTCGTCTGCGCCGCGAAGACACGCCCACTGAAATAGACGATGTGAAGTATGTGTTGCGATTCGTGTGTACAGTGTTACAGCGTCTATAATAATACTGATTATAATACTGAATAGCTTAAGTGAAGAATTTATAAAATTAATGATGCTTTTAATTAAAAATATGTCTTAGAATATTATTTTGAGGCATCTGATAGTGTCTCCGTAACATATAATTCCACAGGTGATCACCAACCAGCAGACGAAACCTAGACGTGGTTGGAGGGTGAAGTGAGACCGTCCAGGCTCTACGAAGTCACGCAGCTGTTTGGTCATGATCATGATTGACAGAGTTGAAACTTCCTCGGATCGTATTCGAAATAGCCACTCTCAGAATGGCGTTATTCAGCCTCTTCTTACTGGTAAGTATTGACGTTTGTATTTCTCCTTGACTAAGGCATGTACAATAGGAACATTCACTAACTAGGGCCACATTTAAAATCTACTACAGAAATAGAGCTTTATTTATAAGTCATATTAATTGGTTTCTCGAACTTTTAAAATTTTACTGTTCTTGACTATTAATATCCTTTGATAATATATATATATATATATATATATATATATATATATATATATATATATATATATATATATATATATATATATATATATATATATATATATATATATATATATATATGCAAGTAAATCACTGTACAAACTGGACAATTTTGTAATTAAGAAGATTTGTAACCAGGTGAGAAGGTTGGGTCACCTTCCTCTGACCTGACTACCGACCGTTGCGGTGCTATTTAAAGATTAGTAGAGTCATTACCTTATACCTGACCATTGTGGACCTGGTCTCACCCTCCTCTGTGTCTATACACCTTGTTTTGTACTTCTCTTTAGTCTGTACTCACCCCTGAAGATGTGAATTACACGAAAGCGCTTGGGAACTTCGTGTTTTCTTCTTTCCTTGTGGTTATCAGCATATATATATATATATATATATATATATATATATATATATATATATATATATATATATATATATATATATATATATATATATATATATATATATATATATATATATATATGTATATATATATATATATATATATATATATATATATATATATATATATATATATATATATATATATATATTATATGTATATATATATCCCCTCAGTACTCAGCTAAGCGATAAATATGATACAGTACTTATGATCTTTTATCTCAGCTGGTTGGAAATAATAAGTGCCATATAACTTGCTCAGTTTTATTTTTTATATACTGGTGTGTATGATTAGTATTGTTTAACTTTTATAAATATTTTACCAATTTTCTACATAATTAGTTTTCTAAATCCTTTCCAAAATCATGAAAAAATTACAAGTTTCTGTCAACAGATGCTAAAATAAAAATGTTGTTTTTCATGTTGCCCTCAAGACCCTCAATCTGTCATTGAAACCAACAACCGAGCATAACTATACCTTCTGGGGTCATGTACAGTACATTGGCTGGTATTTTGTAGTGACCTTGCATGAAACTTTATATTAATTTTTATAAGGGGAGGTAGAGGAAAAAATAAGAATTCAGTGCTTTATATACTGGATACTTTTTAGTTTTTTTACTCTTCAATTTCACTTATAGAAATGTAATTTTGATCATACTAAGTGGGCAGGACATTGCAGTAGAGGGAAATTTAGGTAAAAAATCGTAAAGAATCTGATGAAATCAAACCTAATGTAACCTAATGACTCGAATATCAGTGTTCATGTCTAACCTAACTTAATCAGAGAAACAGAAGGACCTGACCTAACTGGTGTGTAAACCTATCCCAACCCAACAGGACAAAAACAAAACAAAACAAAGAAAGCTTAAGAAATCTAATCAAACCTGAAATCGAAAAATAGAAAACCTCAAAAAATATAAATATCCAATGAAAACACGAGCAACCGCATGTGCACGAATATCACATGACATTGACATTTCTGCCGATTGGCTGAGTAAGAAATAAACAATGTATATCCAGGCGAAATTGTACCCTGTTTAAGTGAAATTGAAAGGTGAAAATAACTAAAAAATTAAAAATTTCTTATGGAAATGCTATAGAGTAAATCATTCATATTTTTATTTATTTTTATTTTTTGTTCTCTCTTCCCTAACCTGTATAAAATTCAATGTAAATTTCCGTGCATGGTCACTACAAAATTTTAACCCATTGGTCAGATATCTAAAGAAAGTGCTACTTTCATATTGCATAAAATCGACACTGGTCATACTGTACGTTTATTTTAGTTTTCTTATCCTCCACACCACTCATCAGTCTGTTAGGCACATCAGTGGTCGGTCATGTCGCTACTATGTTAAATATTGATGACATTATCACATTATGGCATAGATGGGTAACCTGTCTATTTAATATAAGTGCTTAAACTTTTTTACTTTTATCCTCTTCACCACTTATCGGCTCGTTAGCCGCTTGGGCAATCGGTCACGTCTCTGTTATGCACTGTTGGCAAGTACTGGGCATGCACCGGCTCCTGAATGTACCTGAACCTGCTCCAGTGTTGGTCAAGTCTTGTCTTGAAAGAGCTCACACTCGGTGCCGTCACAACACTTTTTGGATTGTTCCAAGAGTTCACAACTCTCACTCCGAAAAAGTTTGCCCTCACAGTTTTCTGGACTTGAGGCTTCTTCAATCTTGAGCTGTCCCTTGTGGGGTGAGCATCCGCCAGCTCCAAGTAAGGACACTCGACTGAGTAGTGCCTCTTGAGATGCTTATACACCTCAATTAGGTCACCCCATGCCCGTCTGTAGTATAAGCTAGGCTAGTTCAGGCGCTCCAATCTCTCAGGGTAGCTGAGGTGCCAAAGTGCATGCACCAGTCTGGTGGCCCTCCTTTGAACATTTTCAACCAACTGACAGTCCTTAGCATATCTCGGGGACCAGACGGGGTAACAGTACTCCAGATGGGGAAGCACTTCACTCTTGAAGATTGTTACGAGGGACGGACCGTCTAGATATCTGAACGACCTTCTTATAAGACCCAATAATTTATTTTCCTGGTTTACCTTCTTCTCGCAATGGCCCGAGAACTTCAGTTCATCGTCAACATACACACCCAGGTCCTTCTCACATTCAGTCTCAAATAGTGCAGTTTCTTCATCCTGTTGGGACATATGATACACCTCCTTACCGTTGGTATGCCCCAGGTTGGAAGCTCTCACATTAAATAGCTGGATACTTGGCTATGCAAGCTCTGCTTATTTATTAATAATCACCATTAAGTAGATCATGAGTACACAGAATCCAAAATGGTTTCAGACTTTCAAATTGTTCAGATTTCTCGCATCAGTGAAGTCACAACTAACAAAGTGCTGCCTTGTTGAAAACTTAGTTCACATATATTTTAATGTCTCACCTCTAGTCGTGTACGGGTATTTTCCAGGTAGTACATATGTTAACCATTATTTGTCTTTTGTTTAACAAATTAGTACAAGCGTCAAAAGTTTTATCGAAGTGGAACATGGGAAAGCGGAATTTAAATACATATACTGTAGTATGTAGTTACTTTAGAAGAATCTTCTAAAGATAACTTCTTACCTCCAGAATATCCCAAAACAGGTTGAGGAATTGCAATTTTTGTAATACTGTACAGTACTATTGTTTTCCCTAGTTCTTGCTCCACACACATTGACAACACTGTGTCCACTGTTCATACGCAGGATCAAGTTACCAGCTACTATTACATTACAGTACAGTACAGTGATCCCTCGGTTAACGAGCGCCTCAGTTAACGAGATTTCGGTTAACGATTTACCTTCCATAAGATTCTTAACTTCGGTTAACGAGCAATCCCTCGATTAACGAGTTTTTTACGAGCCGACTTCAACATGTTTTCGCTTGCATTTGGCGGTCCACCAGCTGTAGTATTAGTCCGCCAATACAGTAATCGGTTTTAGGGCTTAAATTCCTTACTATTTTAGTAAATATCAAGAAGTTTATACTATTCAATAATTTTAAAAGTTTAATATTAACTTTTTTAGTCATTTTAACAATTATTGAACATAATTGAAGGTAAAGAAACTAGTTTCTGACGTGCCATCCAGCCTGTTAACACGCTTTTTTTCTGTGTTTCCAAGCAAATTATTGGTCATTTTGAAATTTATTTTACATATTGACAATATATAATGCAGTACAGTGTTGATTTAAAGAAAATAATCTTGAATTACCCCAAGAGAACTAAAATTTTATGGGTGAAATGGTGCCATGGGGTGACTTCTCTTCTACCCCAATGCCTTCTCTTCTCCCTTCTCCTCCACCCCCATTCTAATTCCCATCATCATCATCATCCAGGAGCCTTCTACATTCTCACCTCAAAGTAAGTGTACTTTTCTACCTTTTTTGTTGAATTTAGGCAATTTTCAGTGAGCTGGAACCAATTACCCAAAAACCCATTGAAACAATGGTTTTGGTTAACGAGTTTTTCGGTTAACGAGCAACCTGCTGGAACGGATTGTGCTCGTTAACCGAGGGACCACTGTACAGTACTGTATATGATTTAACGGATTGAACCTAGCCTACCAATCCTAATTTAGGATAGGAAGATTAAGTCGATTTGTCTTCTCTCAGATAATCTCTTCATCTAGCAATAGCTGAGAAGTTGTTGTTCTTGTGCATGAAAAGTTCTTAGTACAAAATTGCTAAAGTTCTATTATGAAAATTGCAAATCATTCTCCTTTTTTTTAGGTTATTCTTAATTTAAGAAAGAAATTATAATCACCTATAAAAAAGGTTAACTGAAGTTGCTCTTTATGTATAGTATGGAAGTCTTCAAGTCTGTTTAACATATTTTTTTTGTGCTAACATAAATACAGTGGGGTATGCTATAACGAATCCAATTGGTTCTAGAACCTTGTTCGTTATAGGATTAATCCGTTCCAGGCCCCCAAATACAACCACTTAACACTGAAAAATATAATATAAAATTGTAAAAATTGTAAGAAAGTGCATAAATATGCATCTAAACCCCTGAAATAAAGAATATCATTAATATTTGTAATAAAAAAACAATAAATTAGAAAAAAAAAGAAAAAAAAATTAAATAATGTTCGTTGTAGGAGTTTCGTTTGTTATAGCATTCTCAATTTTATAGGTAAAACCGTTCATTATAGGAATATTCGTAGTAGGATCCGTTCGTTATAGCATACCCCACTGTAGTCAATAGCTATGGCATCACCAAGAGGTAACACTTTCATATAGGTATGTGTTCATGATGAAAAAGTCACCAGAATGATACAGTACAGTACTGTACCTTGTATTAATAAAATTACAATTTCCCCACCTATTCTGGAAATGAATAGAAATAAAATCACAGGAAAAAGTCAGAGAAAAGTAAAAATTTTGC